TATATTAGATGGTGTTTCAAACGCAGCTTATTATTTGAAGTCAGTTGGTGTATGGTGACTAGCAGTGGAATCCAGGATGTGAATTTCGTACTATCTGGGACTCGTCATCTAGATACACATGCACTCCTCAGTGAGTGCTGACGTCCCCAATGAGGCTCGAGCCCACTGCCGGGAAAATCTAAATTGAATTGAATAACTAATAAGACGTGTTGCACAACAGATGGCTGTCTTAGCCAAAGTGGTTTAGTGAATAACACTTTGGCGTTTGAAACTATGGGCACTGGCTTCGTGCCTCAGTGGGGACATCATCACTCACTAAGGAATGCAAGTGCATACAGATGACGAGTCCTTAACAGGACGAAGCACGCATCCTAGATTCCATTGCTAGTCACCATTAATCAATTGACTTCAAGTTACATGATCAGACATTGTCGAAGCATCTCATCTGCACAAGGAGCTGCCATGTCAACTTTAGACGGAGGACTTCGGTCCAATCAGTCGACGTGAAAATCTAAACTGAATTAATCAGTTGATTACTTATAATCACACTAAGTGTAACTTACTGTTGAAACTTGATTTTTATGATTCCAGCCCTTTACTATCTATCGTAATGGTAAAGGAATTTTATGGATATCCAACGAGAAGTGGTGGTGTTGTACACTTCTGATTGATTGATATGACTAGTTAGATACCATTCACATCAATCAGTAGTGCTTGCTAGCTAGATCAAAGTGATTTAAACACCGGATGGCTGTTTCACTTGCTTAAGGCTGGCCTCATCAGCGATGTACCTGGTGTGACTCAGTCAAGAGAGTTGAATCAGTTCAAACTACTTGAATTTTGGCTAGTGACCTGGATTAACTGGTTATACTTTGAGTCTGGTTTGCAATTTGCTTTCTCGATTTCTATTTATGATGTCGAATAGTGAATAACTGAATAGCTTTGACTTCAGATTATGGTAAAATTTCACCACCATCGAACAGTAAACTGTAAACCACTAATTAATTTGCAAATTAAGAATTTGGTCTAGAAGAGGCGTTGTCACTTTGTACGATCCTAATGAACTCCACTATAGGGGAGATTTTTTTCTACGAGTTTAAAATTCACTAACTTTTTTTTTGTGTTCCACTTATCTAAGTGGATGTAGTCATTGGTAATCATCAGGAAACTGAAGCAGAATCACATTCCCCTTGAAATACCCACTGTCGAATCCAAAGAATTTATCACTGATTTATTTAGTGATGTACAGGAATTGGTAACCAAATGAATGGTGATCATTATGGTTAGTTATCTACTAGTCTCAGCTGTCCAATATGCTTAATAAAATAACATTGCCCAGCGGTGTCATGTCAGTTTGAGACAATAACATTTCTACAAAATACCCTACGAGTTTTGAAAAAAAGACTATGGGATGAATAGTGGAGTGTTATATGCACTGTTCGTCTATTTCTGTTATGAAAATCTGCAATTCTAATAGGTTATATTTATAATAATCATAATACATCTAATTCTATCCACCGATCAAAACAACCAACCAATCAGCAACTGACTTCAGTCTACACTTTTCCTTGTCAGATTTCGTTCATCATTCTGATTAATTTTGTGTTAGAATATAATTTTGTTTATATCGTTATTGTTTTTATCGGCATAATAAACAACCATTTGCTTGATTGACTCTGTCTTTTTTTAATATTGTTCCAGGGATTATCCGATATGCATTTGGTGGAAGTTCTTTCAATTATTTTTTTATGGACACAGTGATTTTCTTATTATTTCACTTGCATATAAGTGTATATGTTATCAAATATAAGATAAACTAGATCACTTTTACATGCTGAAGTTTGCAGGTTGTTTCAGTCAGCTGCTGTATCATATTATCTAGTTATTGTCTTCAGGGGATTCAGCCTACAGATTATTTCTGTCTTGATATGAAAGTAATGCCCAGTTTCACTATCAGTTGTAAAAACAACTTTCACAATGTAGGTTTCGTTACGTACCAGACAGCGGTTGGAAATAAGTGAAAATAAGGGAACGCGACTAGACAGCTGTTTCGCACTAGCTTGAGACTCTTCAGTAGTGTGCACCAGCCACCTCACCAGGGATCTCGTCCTAGGCCCTTAACTTATTAGGCTAAGCTTGTTGAGAATTCAGCCGTTTGCGCCGGATTTGAGTGATTCGTGAATCCTAACTGTTTTTTTTTCAAATAATGTTTTCTGTGTAAGCTATGGACGATTGCCTGTAAAACAGTATGTTGTCATGTAAGCGAAGTAAGGGATTTCTGTCGCCAAAGTTTCAATTAAAAAATGTTTGATTATGAATAATTTTCAATGAAATTGTGTAATGTTTTGTCAAGAGCGTGAGAAACAGTAAATTGTTTGAACGACCTGTTCTGTACACAGTACTTTTTTATGTGTTGCTTGCAAGCATTGATGTTTCAGCTGAAGGGTTACTGAGATATTGCTACTATGAGAAGAAAGGAATAATTTTAGGGTGATGCTTTCTAATGAAATGATTTACTTCAAGTAAAAGTTGTTCTTCTGTTTGATATAGATTCATTTCATGAAGACTTCATTGGTTTTGTTGGTTACTAAGACTTTTTGCGGTTATTTTAACGAATGTACTGGTCACTATCAGCCCTGTGAACTAGACATTTGACCTTAATGTAGGTCAAATATCTGGTCTTTGAATTTCTATTGGTTTTTTTATCTAACCAATCACAACTCACCTTTTGTACACGTCTTTTGAACTGACTACATAAATAGTCGGGACTTATGCTCGGTTGTGTTTTGCTTTTTTTTTCCTTCAAGGATATAAATCTTAACTCCTCAGTATGTCTTCTATGTCTTCTCAGTGTGGTTATTTTAAGTATTTGAATGGTCAAAGCCATAAAGTGTTGTGTTCAAGTACTAACTATAGTGCTGTACTACAGTTCTCAACCAGTCGGCTGGAAGGAACCTCTAAATCAAGTATTACCCATAATGAATCTCAATACTACCATGAAGAATGTTATCCTTTACCTAGTTGAGATAATATTCTGTTTAAACACTCAGAGTTCCGTATATCGTATAACTTTCATAAGAGGTCTAGGTAGCTGAGTTGGGGTCAAATTTGCACAAAAGTCTTTTTTCCAGAGAAATAGATTCAACAACAGGTAAATTGGTGTGCATGTGAAAACTAACAGATGTTTAATTGTCTTTGTTTTTAAAAAAAATTTATACTACTTGTAAGTAACAAGTGTAAACAGAGCGAAATTTGCGCGGTGATCATTCACTATTATTATTATTATTTATTCATACACATGATGGATACGTACGTACATTGATAAGATGAACCCATAGGCATAATAAGCAGGTGTTTCTGTGTAAAATATTATTTGAATACAAGGAAAAGAAGAGAAAAAAAATCCACACTGAGACTATATACTCCCCCCGCAACATATCTTTAGGTAAAAAAAGAAAGAGTATGCTTTAGAATACATAAGATAGTATGCATATTGTAGGGTTTTTGAGTAAAAGACTTTGTTTGTTTGGATGTTTCATCAAAAGAGTAGATATTATCCACACAAGTAAATAGGTCTACATATATGTATATATATATATATTTCTGAACAAAAGTGTCCATTGCACAATAAAAACGACACCCCGCCTTCCAAAAAAAGAAATTATCAGAGTCAAGAAAACCTAGAGTGACCACAGTAGCGATACTCTCAGAAACAAAACAAAAAATGGCGACGCCTCATAATAATAGTAATGATAATAATAATAATAGTAATAACAGCAATACTAATAAAGGTCACAACGGACATCAGATAGAACAAATGACAAGAAGACAATTTTGATGAGACGGTCGAATATTAATAATGTGAATAATGAAAAAAAAGGACAACATATTTTCGGTGTTTTACTTATTGTAAAGCAAAATGTCTATCTGAGATATCAGACACTTTAAAAAATGTATACCATAAGGAGTTAAAACAAGAAAAACAGAAGTGTAAAACTTTTACAATACATTAAATAGGCTTGACTATTCTCTTATATAGAGAGGAAAGAATATGAAATTAATAACGGGGAATAAATAAGAAGTAAGAGAATTGTGCCTGATTAGCGAATAATATTTAGAATGAATGAATGAATGCGACAGAGTGGTGGGAAAAACAAACTTAGAAAAAGAGAGATGGAAACAGCATTGTAAAAAAAAGTAGGACGATGCAATGCTAGAATCAGCTTTACATCTATACGTTAGGGTACAAAAGAAAAACAAAAAGTTAAATTAGATAGTGTATATAAATCGGCAAGAAAATATTTCTCAGATAGTTTTGCCATATGTATAAAGTGTTATTGATAGATTAAAGGACAGAAGGTGAGTGGAAAGACAAAAAAGACACAATCGAAGCTTATGCATCTTCAGTATTGAACAAAATGAAGCTAGAATGCAATATATCAATAATGATGAGTATTTCTGTGAATCGTGGAAAACATAAGAAGATAAAAGGAGGGTTTGGGAAGAGGAGGCGTAGAAGCAGGAGAAGAAAAACCCACTATCAGTGGAATATCAGTTGCTACACAAGTACCAACTAATTGACTTATCTATTATTAGGGTTTTTTATAAATAGACAGATTGATAGGTTGTAGTAATATTAATAATGATAATATGAATGATATATATTTTTAACCATTAATTGATTCTGTTTATTTATAATATTAGGGCTTTAAATGTGGATAAGTAGTTCGAATATAATTGACAATCGATTCAGCTGAATGAACTGGATCACATTCAGAAAATATATGACATGTACATTCACTGATTCCTTTACGAACAACTAATCCAAAGATTCTATATAATAATATATAACAAAACGATATATACATATATATAAGAACATAAATAATTATTAATTATTTAATAACAATAATCAATATTTATAATATATATATATATATAATATATATATATATATATATATATATATATATATATATTATGTTCATTCACTCGAATTCATTAGTAAATGGCCTATTCATTTATTGATCGCTATAACTACACATATGCATGTATATATATTTATCAACTGGAATAATTGATTTTTGTGATATACCAAACGATGATTATTTGAATAAAAATAGATTTATTGAAGACAATTACTATTAGAATGACTTTTAAGGAAGAAATGAAAATCAGTAGTTTTCTATTATAGCCAGTTATTTCACCTATAAGTTATAGTTTGTAATGAAATCTTTTACCTGGTTAATGCCTTGCTTACGTTATGTAGGTAATCATGGGAATGGATTCTTGTTGATCAGTAATATTGGGGTTAGGCTAGGGGTAAAGTGCTAGGGGTAAGGAAGGGAGGTCAGCTGATGACATTGTGAAGTTATATCGACTGAGATGGCTAGAAGACATGTCATGCATGCCAAGTCCTTACCCTCGTTCGTCTTGATTCTTCGCGTACCTGAAACAGAGACAGGGTTAGTGTTGCGTGACCGCAGAGCCCAGGGGACAACTGCCTGAGGTCGGTCATACACACGACCTGTGTGAACTGGTCCCTTGGTTTTGTTCCATATTAGTAAATTTACCACCGGTTACGGACCACTGTAGTTGGGGCAAGTCGGGATGTACAATTTTTGGGGTCGACCTTTTCTAACCCCCTCTCTCCGGAGTGGAGAGACAGCATAGCTGGCTGGCGTGCTGGTCATCTGAGGGAAACACCTTACTGCTGTTACATCTCTGTCCCCCAGCAGTACGGCTTCGTCTCAGGCCCCCAGCATAGTGTAAGAAAGATTCTTACTCTAACAAACTTCCTGGCATGGTAGGACCTGCAGGAACATTGGTTCCAGACAGTGCAGCTTGTTGGGTCATCGTGGTATGCAATCCGGACTACCACGTCAAGGTAGCAGCTATCGGTCGGGAGAGGTGATCAAATAATAGTCTGACCTCATTTTTTTGACTTTTGGTTTGAGCTAGCCATTTAGGAAGGTGTAGACTGCCTGGATGGAGTTCTCAGGATGCTAAGAGCCAATGGCGTGAGGTTGTGTTGGTAACCTCTTAAATCAGTTAAATCCGTATGTTTCTCCATGCACTTATTCTTTCTACCGCAGATTTATGTTCATTGTAGTTCTTCTGAATTTTTCTGTCTCTATCTTTGTGTGCTGTGTAGGGTGTGTGTGTGGCAACTTCAACTGGTACATTCGATCGGGTCGCAGTGGCTTAATGGTCTACGAGTTAGCTGGCCTTGTAACCAGAAGTTCCTGGGTTCGAATCCCTGTGGTGGGTGCGTACTGATGAAGAGTTCCGAACTAGGACAAAGCGGCTGTCCAGTACTCCCACCTGATTTTCCAATAATTCTCTAACTAATTCATATTTCCCGTTGAACAGAAATATTCACTTAGTCTCAGTTGACTTGTCAACTCCTAGTGTGGTGAGAGCTGGCTGTTAGTCAAAATTGGTGGACAGTAATTTACGTCAATGTTTATGTCCCCAGTATTGGTCGTGAGAAAAACGAGAAGAAAGGCTTTGCGTAGGCGGATGCAGTTGACATATAAATGATCTGACATTCAAAAAACAGCCACAAAGAGATGCAAGGTTAACTTTCCGTGAGAAACAACCAATAAGAAGACTGTGTTTTTCTGCTAACAATAATCTATAGTAATGTACATGAAAATCTATAAATATGTGTTGATTTCGTGAATAAACGATCTGCTGTCTGGCCCTTGTCTTCTGTTGTTACACTAGTATGGCCCAGAGAATAACGCATAGGCATTTAAAATTATGAATTCTGGTTTCGAGTTCGAGTGGGAACATCGTCACTCATTGGAGATGCTGCAGCTACATGGAGATGACGAGCCCAAGATAAAACGAAATAATACAACTTAGAATTCCACAGCCAGTCACCATAAATCGCACAACATCAAATTAATCTTCAGAGACTCGAAAACGTCCATGCTGGTAGCTCAAATTTTAACACAGACTAAGATTTATATCCAATGTAATCAATACAAACCAGTCTAAATAAAGGTTGCAAAAGTATTCTAAGTACTGCAATTGAACAAAAAAAAATTGAAAGCTACAACAGACAGACTTAATACAAATTAGATACAGAAATTTAAATTAGTTAGGTAAGTAATAAAAAAATTAGGCGCCAATAACAAGTTAGACTGACTTACTTTGGATTACGTATGCCAAGATTTTGATGTTCAGGGTGAATAAATCTAAAGTTAATTAGAAGCAGCAAAAAAAGTAATAAAAAGAGAAAGAAAATAAAATAAAAGAAAGCATATCAATAATCCTTTGTCTAGCTAGCTCAGGCATGTCTTAATGACATTAGCGCGTTGCATGCAAAATTTGTGTTTTAAGCGTTTATTATTATTAATTATTACGATTATTGAAAAAAATTTTTTGTTTTCATGTGATCTTATTTTTAGAAACATTTTTCACTAGTAATTTTTTTTAATTATTCATGACTATCCGTTTTTACATTTTAGGGATGAGTAACCGATATGAGCTACGTGTATGTCATTCATCCAGTGGCATATAACAAATGAGACTTAACGTCAGTACTAGTCTGTTTCTTTTAATACGTGGTATTTTCCATGAGACTGCATTTTTGTACTAATTTAAGCATTAAATGCAAGTCTTAGATAAGAAGAATTTACCCACTTCAAATTGAAGTATGCGCTGAAGATGTCACCCAGTAAGGTGATGAAAGCTTCGCAAACTAACCATCCAGCTCAGAGAACAAAACCACATCAAAAGACTTTACCCTTCTCCGTCTCTCTATATAAATACAATTTAGACACAAAGCTGCTCCTCCTACAGTTCATAAACTCTTGCATCCTACCTATTCTTCTTTATTGTTCACCCCCATTCTTTCCTGGTTTGCTTAAAAAGACTATGTCACAGTTTGTAGAATGCTGAAGACTGTCAGTAGGGTGAGTGGTGTCCCAGTGGACCACATAGTTAACGTCGTTGTCGATAGGCACTTGAATTCGTGCAATAAATTCGCTAAAGGGATTTTGTCTGACTTGGAGCATCCACTTTACCCTCAGCTTTCACCTTGCATCTCCTCAGGTAGAACAAGAAGTAACTTCAGAAAACCGTATGCTCGCACGTCTAAGTACAGACATTCTATGATACCATACTTGGCACGTATTTTATGTGATGAAAATAGTGTCAGGCAAGAATTAACTAACCTTCTTTCATCTAGTAAATAAACAATTTCCTCCATCCATCCTTATATACCTTCAAGTTTTACTTTTATTATTTCTATTATATTTATGGTCCTGTTACTTCTCTGTTTTACTCTCATAATTGCAAACACCAACTTATCTCCATGACGGCTGTAATCTTTGTTTTTCCCTTCACCATATCATGTAAATAGAACATTATATTCAATATTTTTAAACATGTTAGGATTTCTATATCGCATTGACAATATTGTGTGAAACAAGCCAACGGCAATTTTCACTTGTATTATTATTATTATAACCCTAGCTGTTATCATTATTATTATTATTTCTATTATATATGCTGCATGTTTTTGACACTACCTGTATTGTAAATGTGGAAAATTTTTTGTGTGATTAATTTTTATTTATAATTTGAGGAAATTAGATGCAATAATATTGTGATTAATGGTGAAAATTCCATTCTGTATCACAAGTACTGTTTTTGGAATAAAGTAAATTATTATTATTATTATATACAAGAAGATCACAGTGGCAAAACTATGGGTTCCATTAAAGGCTCTACCCTTCTGCTGGTAATATTTTTGAAACGTTTTGGTCATGTGGTCTTATAGTCCAGACCGTTTGTTAAAATGTTGCATTATGGCTGTTAGTTATGAATTTTTATGAATTGTGGATGTGGGTTTGCATTAGAGTGGTGGTGGTGGTGGTGGGGGGTCATAGTTGGGAAAGTTTTGTGTGCTTATGGAACTGTGTGAACGGTTATTACTTCCCGTCTACACACACACACACTGTGGAATTATGCTTCTTTTTGGGATGTCTAAAACAGGAGTGATCGCCCTGCTTCAACTTAGAGTTCAGGGAACAACTTCATAAAGCTGGTCACTTGCAACTGTTGTGGATATTATGACATCAGTCAATGAAATCCACAACAGTTAGTTTAAGCCTGTCACGTAGGAAGGTGTAAACTTCCTGGTTGGGGTTCTAGGGACGGTAAACACAAATGGCTAGAGACAGTTGGTGATATGGTTCAAAATCTTTCTCAATGGTGCGGATGCATCCACTCCTTGTGACTTATAATACCCAATAAAGCTATATTGTTCTTCGATATCACTATTCTTTGTGCCTCATATCTCTGTTTACTGTCTTTATTTTGCATATCTTTTTACTTTCTTCTCTTGCTTTGTATTCTAAGTGAAGTGCGGCTAATCGAAACTGCTGCACATCAGTGCAAAGTTCTATGTTGAAACCAGTCAGTCAGTAAACATGTTTGAGTTAGTTTTTGAAATTGTGTTTGTATTAAGAACTTACCTACAGCAACGGACTGCCGAAATATATGTCAGGATGTACGATTTTTCTGGGTTGATGTCTTCTAACGCCTCGGTTTACAGGCTGGAAAGGCAACATACTTGCCTAGTTGGTTATCTGAAGGAGCCAGACTTGCTGCTGTTACATCCCTGTTAGCCAGCAGTACAATATTACACTCAAACTCCCAACATAGTGTACAACGGCGCACACCATATTGATAACTGCCTTTATTCTAATTGCTGATAAAACAACCTTTTTGATATGGTAGAGGTAGAGCCTGAAAGAACGTCACTTCCACATAGTGTAGCTCGTATTTCCTATACCGATTGTGTCTATGATGATGTACAACTAAAGTTGGATTCACCGTTTATAATGTGATCAGCGATCAGTGATACATAGCACTTGAAATAATGAAACCTATTCAGCTTTGTAAAACTAATAACTGAGTAATTCCATATCACTTTGTTTATTAGATATATCACACAGTGAAACAGTATTATTCACTGGATGACACAGTTTCGAACAAAATTTATCGTTCATAATCATCTCATCAATTATAATCACACGACATTGAAACTTGAGTTTTCTAGTTTTCTTTGTCTTCTCCTATTTGTCGTCGTTGGGGTAGTAGAATTTTCCAGATAGCTAGCCAGAGCAGGTGTTGAATCATTCTTATTACACGTATTCTCCTCAGTTGATTCGATAAATAAAGCTTCTGTTATCAATCTCTCCCTCCACCAAGCTGCTACATTAGATTTTAAAACTGTCATCCTCTCCCATCCATCCTATTCTATGATTGTGTGTTACTGCATGTAATGCTATCTTTGACTGAACTATTCTCTAGATTTCTTATCTTATTCTGTTTCTTATTGTATTGTCGGTTAAAGGATCCACAGGATCCTTTAAAACAAAACGATTTAGTTTATCTAATATCCTGCAATGATTGTCAGGTCAAATACATAAGTCAAACTAGTAGAACAGGGGCAGTCAAACTAGACGAACATAAGTACCTAGCAAAATCTAGATTGGTTGACCCGAATGAGATAAGAAATCTAGAGAATAGTTCAGCCAAAGATAGCACTACATGCAGTTACACACAACCATACAATGGGATGGATGGGAGAGGATGACAGTTTTAAAATCTAATGTAGTAGCTTGGTGGAGGGAGAGTTTGATAACAGAAGCTTTGTCTATCGAATCAACTGAGGAGAATACATGTTATAGGAATGATTCAGCACCTGTCCAGGTGGATATCTGGAAAATCCTACTACCTTTACGATAAATAGGAGAGAATAAAGAAAACTAGAGAACTCAAATTTTGAAGTCGTGTGGTTATAACTAATGAGATGATTATGAACGATAAATTTTGTTCGAAACGTCATCCAGTAGATAATACTGTTTCACTGTGTCATATATCTAATAAACGAACTAATATGGAATTACTTACTACCACAGTCCTCAAGTTTTACACATATATTAATAACTAAGTATCTGAACTTCATAATCGAGTTAACTAACTAACTGTAATATGTACAGAGTTATAATTGGGTTTTTTTGTCATCGCGTTCGATACAGAGAGTTATCAATATAAGAAAAGTTATTCACGAAGTGTGTTAACTCTTTCACTAGGACTCCTTATCATACAGCTGACGAGGGTTTGTTAATTAGATCAATTTAATTGTCAGTGGTTAATGCAATGAATAGTTGAAGAAGACATTTAATTCAAACAATTTACTTACTCTTTCTTTCGAGACTCTACACCACAATATAATAATACATTATTGGGAAGATGTCGTCGAAGGAATAAACGTCTTAACAAATCGATAATTGTAATTCCATCATGTGCACTGACATGCAGTTGAATATCTGAATATCGTACACGACTAATACCATGATCACATTCAGATGCTGTTAATGTTTCCAATGGAATTAATTGATCAACTGCTCTTGAGAAACAAAGTTCATTGTTCCATTGAGGCGTGTCAACTGATCCCAGCATGAAACATCGATAAGCTATAGTAGCAATAAATTGAGAAAAAACACACATAAAAATGCTAAATAAGTCTACTTTTGGTCAAGAAAAAAACAACTGATAGATGACATTGTATAAATCAGTAAAACCACTCACACATTGGGGATAGAAGCCGTAGTTCGTATATAATGTGCGGTATAAAAATACCCATCTCTAAACTTCATGACAGATTCCAAGCGTAGCATTCGTAAGACAGTGGTTTTCAAATCAGTTCGTGGAGCGGGTTTTTTGTGTCCAATGCTATCAGCCACATTCACTGTGTGAAGACAGGTGGTACTACTCAATTGCCAAGGTGGTAGTGGGTGAAACGGGATTCGAACCTGGGACCTGTCAATTGAAAGCCAAGTGCTTAAGCTAGTCGTCAGTTACATCTCCACAGCGAGTGGAACGGAACTTTCTGAAACTTTAGGCTGAATGGCTCTGTTCACTTAGAAAGTCTTCAGTTACAATAGATAGAAATAATCTAGAAACCTGAGAAATACTGTGCGCAAAAATAATCCAAAAACTAAAACATACAGATCACTGATGAAATTTAATGAGGGTGTTTCTGGAGAAATTTACCGTAGACTAAGCTAAGCAGACAAGTATTACGATAAAAAAACTTTAGTCATCAAGAGTTGATCACGGATTGTTATCAGTTAGAGGACCATTGAAAACCAACAGAGAGTACTGGACAACTGTTTCATCCGAGCTTGAGAATCATTGGGAGTACGCACCCATTGCCACAGTTCGAACCCAGGACCTTCCGATTACAAAGGGAGCTCGGCCAATACCATTCAGCCACTAGGACCCAATACAATGGTCAACCCATGTGTGCATCGGTGGCACAGTGGTTAGTAGTCTCGCCGACCATGCACATGGTCCGAGGTTCGATCCGCTGTCGACGCACACCTGATATCTATGGTCGGCCTGCGAAATTTGGGCTACCGATATCCATGCTGAAAATTCCATACTTGTACCAAAAATACAGTTTGGAATCAAGCTGTAATCAAAAATCAAAAAAAATAAAAAAATTCTAACTTCTACCAATTCTTGGTTTAGCGCCACCACCAACCGATGTCATCAGTGGGAACTTCATCCTCACACTTGACTGGATAGACCCCACAACTTCTCACTAGAACTCCAGGAAACGCCGTCCTGTGATCATTGGTTGTATGAAATGATTTCCATGTTTTTTCAAGTATGAAGCTTGACTCACTTCGAGACAACCTTTATATTTTCATTTAGGAATTTTTGGAATACAGCTTTTGTTAACCCGATACCCTTTACTGTATTAAATTCAAAAACGCTTCACCTAGATGATTAATGGTTTGTCTAGTTACTGGGCTACTTGTTAGATATTCTCAGTCAAATAATATACCAGGGGATAGATTTATAAGCATTCATGCGATATATATATATGCTCTACCAGAATCGTCTTTTAAAACCATCTACAGGGTAAGGCGGAATGATACAAGGGGTTTTATGTTTCTGCACTTGTGTTTGGCGTAGGGGTGATTCGTCAGTATAACCAGGAACTCTTTGTACAGAAGTTTGTCCACCCTCTTATTCTACCTTGGTCCTAAACTCTTTCTTTGGAGATGATTTTGTTGATGGGGAAAAATTACTCCACTGAGTTGTCTTTTATTTTCTTCGCAATCTAGCAAACCAAAAATAACTGAGTGGAGTGCAATTTAAAGTACCAAAGATGTGTATGCAGACTAGCAGTTAAATGACCAGAAATTGAAGGCTACAAAAATATGAGTTCACTGATAATTACTACAATGTCACATATCTTTCGCAGTACATGGAGTTTTTTGTACTGTAGCCTCTAGTTATATATATTGAAAAAGTAAGCAGAAGACAAGCATATAAGTCATCAGTACAGTTTGTAAACGATCTACGTTTAGAGAAAAATTTCAGGTCAAACTACTTTGACACTAATTTTTCTTTAATGTGTAAAACTTCTATTGGAATCAATCCTATTAGCAGTGGCTGAAGTTTCAGGTCAGCTGTCAGTAACTTATGAAGAGTTTAGCTGTTACAGAGTACCACCTAAAGCCCATAAACAGTTTCAATTCATGAGTTATGAGTAACAGAACAAAATAGGATAATTAAAAAGTAAATTTATTATTCAGTATTTATTTGGACAACGTGTTAGTGAGTGTTTTTTAAACAGGTGTTTATAGACATGGAGTACTGTACAGTCGATTCACTCTGGTTTTCAACTGTTCACCACTACGCACCCATGAACCAACTAGGTTTCACACAGAGGGTCATTAGTTTGCGAAGGGAACAAGTTACTACCCAACCACTGTGACTAAAATTCAAAGGCTCATGAATTCTAACTTTCAATCAAACAGTAAATAAGTTTATCACCTGAACACAATCACCTGTCAGCTTTATATTTATTATTATTGTTCCTTTGGGTTCCGAGTGAAAACACCTCTCCTCTTTATCCTATTTTCTGCCACCCTCTTCAGCTGGGTCCATGACTGACCATAATTTCTCACCCTTTCCTAGAATGATCTCCTCCATGTCACCCTGGGATAACCCACTCGCCGCTTCCTAATGGGATTCCACTCGAGCGTTGGCCTGGTGCACAATGTCATTCTGCGATCTCCTCCTACATATTTGTTGAGCAATCGGCTCTTGGTTGGTTTATCCCCAACCACAGTTTCTTGTCGCTAATTCTTTCTGGCCGGCATTTGGTCTTTAGTAGGAAGTCAGCCAGCAAAGGTGTCAGCTGTTAATAAAAGTTTGAAATGGCCTGTTGGAAATGTCGTTTTCGTGAGGCGCCTATCAAGTTTCTTACCCATATAGAAGGACTGACTTGACATCGGTGTTGAAAATCCGAATCTTCGCTGAGTTTATTGCTGAGTATAGATTTCCAAACAGATTTCAGATTGATGAAGGCATATCTTGCCTTTCCGATTCTGGTTGGATCGGACATTTTCATCTGCTCCCTCTGTGGTTGGAACGATGCTTCCTACATAAGTGAAGGAAGTAATCTCTTTAATGTTTCTCGCGTTGATAACGATTGGTGCTGGTTGTTCTTTCAGCTTTAATCACTATTTATTAAGGGTAAGTATTCAGTTTTTGCATGAATGCTAGCCTAATTAAAATGTCACATTTATAAACAATGAAAAAAAGTGTTCTAGATTAAAACTCACTCATTCCTTGATTGATTAAACTTGGTGATACCATTTGCTTATGCTGGTCATCTTTAACTACGCATTCAAACGGTAGACCATCTATGCCAACTGTTGAATTGTCTACAACTGACTTTGTACAGTCTATTTCCCCATTATCCATAACAACAGAACCCATTTCTGAAACTGGTCCAGTAGCATTGTTCACTTTTGAAATAGACTCATTATGAGACACAGAAATATGATTACTCATTGGTATTTCAGTATTGTTATTATTATTATTGTTATTTGGTGGTATACCAGTCACAATTTGTGGTGGAGTTTTATATCCTTGGGGTAAAGGTGTAGTTGGAATGGCTGGGAGAATCAAGCGACACGGTAAAGCTAAAGCATCCTGTGTATGTCGATTGATAAGAGCAGCTAAGCTTGGGAAGACAGGTTCACTTGCAAAACCTTTTAGGCGTACACCCTTCGTCGGTGTGTTGACTGCTTCAATAAGATAATGTCGAACTAGTTCAGACTGTAGGTCATCTGCAAAAAGTATGGAGAAGAGACGAAAAAGAATTATGGTAATATAAATGAAGGTTCAAAAAATATATACTTTTCTTTGAATTATGAGATTTATTTTTAGAATTAAAAAAAGAGCCATGCTGCCACAGTAATATCCTCATGGGATTCAGTTAAGACGGATCATTACAGACAACTCAAACTACGACTTACTGTAAACACACTAGAGGTGGTTGCAGGATTTCATCATGAGCTGACATTGGTTAGAGAACCATTGGAAAACCTGGGAGTACTGGAAAGCTGTTTCGTCCTAGCCCTTTGGGACTCTTCATCAGTACGCACCCACCGGGGTTCGAATCCAGGACCTTCTGGTTCCAAGGCGAGCTCGTATACCATTAAGCCCCTGAGACCCGATCCAATGGGTTGGAGACTGTAACTACAATTACTCACTAATATCGAATGTCAACAGTCATATAAGATAAGATAAGATAATAGCTTTATTCCCAAACAGTACTTGTGATACAGAATGGAATTCTCAGCATTTTTTACTACAATATTGCATCCAGTTTTTACATTAACAATAAATAAAGTTCTACATAGATTAAAGTTATCTCAGTCAGTTTGGCATGTCGGTAGCAAAGCCAAAATTAAACAGTGTTTGAAGGTGTTAGAAAAGTAGATACTACTAGCATATTTACTGGCGTAAGCGATAGCAAAATGGTCGAGATATACAGAGTGTGAAAGAACGAACAAGAATGTTTTAAGTAGAGTTTGTAAGGAAGAGAGAAACAAAACAGGACATAAAAAAAATAAATACAGAAAGAAAGAAAACGAGAAACGATAATAAAGTAAGGACGGTATTTTTGTCACACACCTTTTAGTCTGACTTCAATGAGGCGCTTTAAACAATAACAAAAATTGATGTTGAAATCTACTCTAACTCACTGTTATGTTTCATGTAGTAGAGATAATAATTTCGATAAACATGATGTTTAAACGATGAATAGTTGAATATGCACTGTACTCAAACACTAAGTAGCATTCATAAAAAATAACTCTTGTTTTAATTATTTCTTGCCATCCTTTGTACTACTAGTGGAATATGCTGGGCTCCAGGCTTCAAGTCCAGAGGACTCAGCATTTGAGGTGTTGTTTTTGTGGTGTGGGGTTACTTGCCTCGTACACACAAACAACCTTCCCTCTCTCCAAGACTTACTATCAATCAGTTTACTAGGCGAAATATAGGAGTAAGCGCATCATCTGGGAATAGAATCCGAGACCACGTGCGTGCTTGGCGAGCATTCCACCACTGAACTACCGACTCACTGTCTTAATTATGGATTACATCAGGATTTCCTGAGCCTATGAGGCGTGTACCGTGATAGTAACTCACCTAGCTTGACCACCATATTCCGCTCAGTCATTACTGAGGTCTAGGTAGGTAGGTGGTACCGGTCACTAGTTGAATTAATTAACTCACAGTCGATGAATGATTAGGTCAAGTGCAGTTGAAAGAATTCATATATGAATAATGAAGATTCTCATGTGCTCGAATCAAAGATGTGTCTTACAGTACAGCAACAGTGAGATCACTTGTAACGCTCAAGGTACAGTAAATGACTATTGTTCTGGTAATTCTTTGTTGATCTTAGGCAAATAAGAATATAAACCTGTTCAATCATATTACAATGGATAAAATAACTAGACATAAATAGTCAAGACAGTTGGAAATTGTGACAACAATTTGATTAAACAAAAATTCATTAAATAGTATCCTTCTACCTAAAGTTTGAATCACCAAAAGCCTTGTCCATGAGACAAGTGTTCTTGTTACAAAATTGAGGATTATTCGAACTAGATGGCCAAGATAAGGACAATGTTTGAACCAGCTTCTTTTGGACACATAAGTTTGACTGCCTAATGCGGATCCCGACGGCCTCAGAAATACTTAGTAAACGAACTCTTAAGGCGACGTTGTGATTTGTTGGTATGCGGTAGATGACTTTGAAAGACTCATCGACATAACAGAACATAATTTAAGCAAATACGTATTCTTTTTGGTGTTTGTTGGGAGGGATGGCAGTTTTTCATTAGACCTTACAGTTACGTAAATAAATTATAAGCCATAGACATTTAAAGCCAACTTCTAGATTTTCGTCATGAATCAACGTCGGTTAGGGAGATGATTGAAAACCAACTAGAGTACTGGGCAGCTGTTTCGTCCTAGTTAGAGACTCTTCAGCAATGGCCACCTACGTCCCCACAGTTAGGAGTGAAATCTGGGACCTTCCTTCAGGTTACGAGACCAAGCCTGTAGATCATTCAGCCACTTTGAGGAGGGGAATTCATTGATCCCTGAATTTAGAATCCTGTCCACACGTGATATAGCTCAACCCTCCTTAGTTCCTTCAATGAGCATCCAAATCACCATGACATGATGGACTTCCTAATGTAGCTTCACGACAACTATCAAGTAGCGGTCGATGACCTGGTGACTGATATTCAGATTATAGGGTTTGTAGGGATCTCAGATTAGTTTAAACTGTTAGATTTTCTTCACGAATGTGAGGATAGCAAGGGTAGATTCGTTCAATTGTTTATATATATTCTTGTTATATTATATTAGTAACCTAAAAAAAACCTAAGTGTAGTTTTTAAAAAAAATTTAATATGCTTTATAAAAACTGTGACAAGATATTGTGGCCTCATTCTAGGATGGAAGTAGACTAACTTTCTGCCATAAAAAAGGATAGAGGGTTTTGTTGTTTGTTTAAATACGGTGTCTTCAGGCTAGACACCTATCTCACTGTCACAATGAAAAAATAAAAATCAGTTAAAGGTTATCAAAACAAAATCTCCTATTCTCTAAATTTAGAAGAAATCATTTATCCAACCCACATTTAAACGATTGCGAAGTAAGTATGCTGTCTTGCTGTCTAGTACGACAATGGAACTTTAGCTGTGAATAATACTTTCAAATCATAAACAATTGTGACACTAATACACATAAATTTACTCCCCAGAAAAAAATACCGCTGGAATCATTCACTGAGATGAAGACTGCATTATGGATAAAATTTTATTATGATAAATCACAGTGTTATACAGTAATATTAACTGATGACCACGTTTCGAGCACAAAGTATTACTCATAATCATATCAAGTCACTCACACAACTTTTTACTTCATTCATATACATGAGTAAAAATTGATTAGACATTTGAATAAAAATCAATATGAGATAATGTACATTCAGAAATAATAATATGAGTGTTATTGATCGATTACAATCAGATGGGAAATAAGACGAGTCTTTTATAGTCATAACAAGTAACTTGTTGTGATGTCCTTGAATTGAAATAGAATTTTCAGATTATTTATTATCCTCTTCTGATTTGACTGACTGGCGGTAATAATATCTATATTTCTTGTATTTGCATTGAGTCATTTCTGTTCCATGTGTTGGGTGTAGACTTAATGAACCAGGCAGGATTCAGTGATCAATCTGTCTCTCCGCCTACACAGATTACTTCTTAGAATCTTAACCCTCTCCCACACACACCGTTGTGTGGTTGTGTGTTAATGAATGCAGTGCAATCTGATTATCCCCGATCGACTAGTTTGACCTATGTAGTTGACTTACCTCACAGTCATTGCAGGGTATTTTGTAAGTTATATTATTTTGTTTAATTGGGTCCACCAGATCTATTAGCCTACAAAGCGTGTCTCTGAGTGAGTTTGTAGGTTTGAATGCCACCGTTATTCCTGCTTTATTAAGAATCCTACGTAGAGCCTCAGATGTCCCCTCCTTATATGGTATAACAGTAGATGACTTATATTCTCTCTTATTTATGTTATCATTGCTAGTGTTTCACAATCGTTTTTAATTTGCTTTTGGCCTTTTTTCGATCTTCCTAATGAATTTTATAAGATAGCTTTTTAACAACAACTCATCTTCTATTTTCCCATCTCCTTTCCATCTGATTGTAATTGATCAATAACACTCATATTATTATTTCTGAATGTACATTATCCTATATTGATTTTTATTCAAATGCCTAATCAACAATTTCACTCCTGTATATAAGTGAAGTAGAAAGTTGTGTGAGTAACTTGATACGATTATGAGCAGTAATTTGTGCTTGAAACGCGCATCAGTTGATATTACTGTATAACACTGTGTGATTTATCAAAATAAAATCTTATCTATAATGGAGTTATACTCTACCACAGTGCCAAAGTTTTATACTTATATCAACAGAGATAAAGACTTTACTCAGCATGTCAATATTTTGAAAAAGGAAAGCAAAACGGTGTGAGTGTGTGCTAGCATTTTTGTAAAAAATCAAAATAAAACTACTTCAGTTGAGTAACATGACTAAGCATGCAGTTAATGTGTCAAAAGGGCAGAGTATGAAAACAGTTGACACGAAATGAAATGGATTAACATGCCAGGATATCGGATACAATACTGTCCTGCCAACATACAGATGTAATAGTTCTGGATACAATGGAAACCGATTACTAACATATGATGAAAATACTCCCATCAATGGGAATAATGAAGTACATAGTGTATTCATGTTCATTGCATGCATGTCTAATGATAAGAAAGTAAATGAGAGATATTCTGATATCTAGCTGTGAAAATAATACAGCAGGTACCAGTGTATCTGAATAATTTAGCAACCTGAGGAGATCTACTTGATGAAAGAAGATGTTGTTACTTCTTTTTTAGAGGGTATACAAGGTATACTCGTGCAGTGTTAAAAAAAACACCGTTTTTCAAAACATCAAGATAGCTGGTGAAATAGTGCATGCAATGCAAGCTGTAATGCACTGAAAAAGTTTACTATCTGCGGTTAAGTCATCCTAATCTTTAAAATACACATCTAAGTAACTGAGTCAAGGTTTAGAAAAGGCTGTGAACACAAATGAGCATGATTAACACATTTTGTTACATGTGTCAAACTTGAAAATAATATTATAGGACTGATTTGTGTCGATTCTAATTTTGAGGATGGAAAGTGAGGCATAGCTGAATGCATAGGTTGGTTTAGATAATTTGAAGAAGTGGTATCGGCTTCAATGGACTGGGTTTGTGAAAGAGTGGACATTAACAAACCCACCCAAGTGAAATACATGATTATTATAGTTGAGAGATGTTCCTTTAAAGCGAAGTGAAAAATCTTGCAGGTTTCTAACAACATTTGTCATCTTGGAATTACTTTCTTTGGAGGGGGGTAGTTACAGAATTATGTTGAGATTTGAAGTAGAGTATTAAGTAAGTAAGGAAAAGCAGTAGGTAAGGTTGTGAATCTTCATGTCTTATGAGTGCTGAACAAGTGTTAGCCTAGGTAAGATTAGAATACAAAGTATTTAGGAGTTGTCGAAACAAAGATTGTTGTTCTGAGCAATGAAAGAGTGTGCAAGTCAGTTTACTAAGTTCATGAAGATGCACCGGGTTTATTATTGGTAGTCTTATTCATTTCATAGATTTTGAGTGTAAAATAGAACCCTAAACAGCACATCTGCACTGTAATCTTCTCTCTACTGTCTTTTCAAGTTGACTCCACGATTACCTGCAAGCTCTAACTTCCCCTTCACATTTTTTTTCTGTATCTCACCTCCTAACACTCAACCCATCGCTTCCCATTTGAGGAGTTCCACTCGAGGGAGGATCTGTGGTGTAATGTTACCCAGCGGCTTCCTCAGAGTATGTCGAATCCATCTCCATTCCCTTCGGCATATTAATTGAGCAGTAGGTTGTTGGTTTATCATCATTTCTCGTCGGTCATCTGTTCTGAAGTACGAAGTGAAGGCACCAGGTGATGAAAGTCTGCAGTGACCTGTTGAAAATGCTTTTCATGAGGTATCAGGTCTCTAAACCACATAGGAGAAGTTTATATCGGTGTTGAAAATTCGGATTCGATTACTTATGCCGAGTACTGTGGACCTCTGCATCAGTTTAAGAGCAGTGCCTTTCACATCTTTATCTGTGCTACCTGCAGTTGAGACTGCCTAGGTAAGAGATATAAGCCACTCCTGTTAGATTCCTCCTGTTGGTGGTTATCGATACTGTTTCATCTCCAGTGTCGCCTCCATGGTTACATGAAGTCCTCTAACCGCTGCCTTGTTGGTTTTCTCCTGTACGTCCTCAAGTTTGTGTGACATTGGATATGAAAAGTCGTCTTCGGAGTTCAGATCTTCTAAAGTCTTATTGTCGGTCCAATGTATCCTCTTTGTCTTCTCTCTCCCCATGGTATAGAGTTATCAGTTAAAATCCATTATACCTATATCTTTGGTATTAATTCAGCTAGAATCAGTTTTTGGCTCTTTAGTTTTCAACAATTCCATTCATTTTCATTTAACCTTTTTCTTCTTTCTTTTTACGGTAATATCAGTTAACTGCAGAATGATTCTGTTTTTTATCCCTTCATTTGTGCACTATATAAAATTGGTACATTTCTGAGGAAGTTACCGGTGTACAGGACGCTATTTTATCCTTGTATAACTTACTGAATGTAGGGTTTCATATTAACATGGGTGAGAGATTTCGAATCAGAAGGTGTAGAAATTGGAGTGATTATTTCAAAAAGAAGACCTCCCTGCTCTATACAATATCCAGATATATACTCAACTAAGACCATTATTGTCAACTGACATCACTAAGAAACTGCCTAGAATTAAAAAAGATTCTTTTTAATCCTGCATGCTTCACATCATAGCCTCTATGCGAAAATATGCGGAGTTTTGAGTTAGCTGAATAAAGACTACAAGGATGTGAATGGAGGAAACTAAACTTTTAAAGTATTGGTTTTGTAGGGATTTTGTTTGATTGCATGGAGGATTTCATCAGGAGCTGACGTCAGTTAGAGAACCACTGGAAAACCTGCAGGGAGTACTGGACATCTGTTTCGTCAGACTAGTTTGGGACCCTTCATCAGGGTTCGAACTCAGGACCTTCTGGTTAAAAGGCTAGCGAACTCGTAGACCACTAAGCCACTGGGACCTGATCCAATGGCCAGTCCATGAATTCAAACTTCTGCCAATTCAGGACATAATGCGAACCCTGGTGGGTGTGTGTTGTCAAGAGTCCCAAACTAGGAAGAAATAGCTGTTCAGTACTCCCTTCAGGTTTTCCAATGGTTCTATAACTGATCTCAATTCATGATGAAATCCTCCATGCAATCAAACAAAATCCCTACAAAACCAATACTTGAAAATTAATCTGATGTTCACTGCCCTATTCAGGCAGTTAACCTGGGGTTCTAGTGGGAAGCCTTGACCAGTAGGGTGCAGCAGGTCGAAGATGAGGCAGTAACTCATCGAAGAAGACATTTCGAAATGGTCGCGTTATGTCGTGAATTGGCAGAAGTTAGAATTCATGGGTTGGCCATTGGATCGAGTCCCAGTGGCTCAATGGTCTACAAGCTCACTAGCCTTGTAACCAGAAGGTCCTGGGTTGAAACCGTGGCGGTGGGTGCGTACTGATGAAGAGTTCCAAACTGGGACGAAACAGTTTTCCAGTGGTTCTCTAACTGATGTCAGATCATGATGAAATCCTCCATGCAATTAAACTAAACTTTACCAGTATATCTGCGGCAGTTCCAAGAGCATTCAATAAGTGTAGATATTATAGAGAAGATTTGTAGCTCAGGTGGATGATTTTGATGTGGTTTTGTTCTCTGAGCTGGATGGTTAGTTTGCGAAGCTTTCATCACCTTACTGGGTGACATCTTCAGCGCATACTTCAATTTGACTTCAAATTGAAGTATGCGCTGAAGATGTCACCCAGTAAGGTGATGAAAGCTTCGCAAACTAACCATCCAGCTCAGAGAACAAAACCACATCAAAATTCAATAAGTGTAGACGTTCAGTGTACACTTAATCAGTATATTGTCTTGAAAGTGAATTTAGTTTGTGCTGAGTAAATGATCTGTGTTGGTGGTCCAGGTTTCCATCCTCTGCCAACCCGCTCTTAGACCTCAACTAGTCACTGGTATGCTTGCTAATGAGCGAAGGTTGGGCATGATGCTAGTAACCCCACCGCGTAAAAAACGTCATTCCTATCACTGAAGCTTTAAAGCTGATGCTTAAAGCCCTATATTCCCCTCAAAATTCATGAGAGTCAACATATGATAGATTCTTCAAGGTGACCCAAATTTGAACTGAATGGATTAGCTATAAGCAAACTGATGATTGTGCATAAACAACATTACCGATAAGATTGAATAAATGTGTATACTAGTTGAAGCAGATGCACTTTCTGCAATATAAAATATGTTCTTTTACTACTAATAATGATAATTCAGACAACAGTAATGACAACTATAGTGACATCAATAACACCAACAACATCAACAGTAGCAACAACAGCAATAGAAGCAAAGACAAGCACAGTGCTGGCGGCTTCCTTAAGGCGTGCGAAAGAAGAAAAGGGCAAAAAGAGGGTGTGGATGAGGAGGATGAAGAGGCAGAGGCAGAGATTTCTAGGGGGGAAAAATTATTCTATATTCTTCATATATTTCTTACTGAAAATGCTTCTGACAAATTTTGTAAAACCTACAAAAAAAGACAGAGAGAGAATGAAGAAAAATTGATAAAAGAACTAGAGAGTAAACTATGTTGTTTTGTGTTTAACTAAAACTGATGCATTTTAAGGATTGATGGATGGAAAAGTGAAGGCGTTAAAACGACAATCACCTACCTACTAATTATCTTTAAAATGCCTTTGCACAATTACTGTTTGAGATATGATAGAATGACTACAGAGTAGCTTCACCTATACCTTCTTAACACTATTACTACAATGAGTACATCAGCTATGCAAGTTAAATAAGCCTCCTGTTAATGTGTAAGATTGAAAGACATTCTTTTGTAGAAGTGCAGTTAATGAAGAGAAAATTAGAGGAACTAATTAGCTTGTAAACATCTGAGCTTATTACTGTCTTACATTCTATGTGTAATTATAGTCCTCTGATGACTGTCAATTAGCCATCGTAGTGTAGCTCAGTGTAGTTTGCAACACTCACATACGATCGATTCACTAAATATTTGAAAGTAAAAACTCAGGTGTAATGCACAAGTCATACCCTGAATTTGGTATTTAGGGTGTTCTAGCTTTCTCTTACTTCAATGCTAAGATGCTCATCTGACACACCAGATGTTCGTATTCAATTCCCAACGAACGTACTCTGAAATCGCGCCTAGTCTACTAGCTGATACTTCTCCTGAAAAAGAAAGGAGATTGGCTACGAGACCAGCAATCTCACACTGTAAAAGTAACACCTTGTGTTACTGAAACTGCAATATTGAAGCCCACTCAGAATAAAGAAAAAGAAGAAATGTAAAAAGATTGGGTAAACTTATGTAAGATATTCAAGTGTAGAAAAACGTGCCTTTTTGAAGAGTTTGGATACAGTTAGTTCAAGTTATTGACTCGATGAATGGCCTAGTACAATTTATTAGATACCGTGAATTTCCTAATATTTTCATTTGGGTTAAGGGGTGGATGTTCATTGTTCGGATGGATCCACTAATGGGTTTCGCGTTTAATGACTCTCTCATCAGCAACCTTATGACTGAAATCACTAATGCTCATTTTTCCAGTGGAACCTGTGTAATTAAGTAATGGAGTCAACGAACTTATCAGTGAGCCAATAGCTAAACGACTAAGAAATCTGTGAAGTATGCCCTCTAAATTCATTCTCTCTAAAATCTAATTCTATCTTAAAATGCACCCTAGTGAACTGGAAGTAACAGTGTATTTTGATTTGACACTAGTAACTAGTGTGAGGTGTCTAGTCTTTTCTTTGGTGCAGACTGAATTCTATCAGTCAGATTGTGAAATGTGACCACCATGCCACTAGGTAGCTCACCATCACGGTGCACAGATTGATTTGATGATATATATTAGATAGTTGGCGGCAATCGTCAGGAAGTCTTGCTTCACCTAGGTTTCGAGCTAGTTGGCACTCGTCAGCAAGGCGTATCTGCAACCTTGAAGGAACCCATGTCCCTTCTGGGATTCGAAGGGACCTGGGTCACCCAGTACTGCAGTCATAGACTAGACACGTCACACTAGTTACTAGTGTCCAATCAAAATACCCACTACAGTCCTACAGGAGGTCAATCTCGAGGCCGAATAGCTCAGTAGTAACGTCTCTGACTGCAGGTGGCACTGGGTGAAGCGGGTTCGAATCTTAGAAGGGACATGAGTTCCTTCAAGGTTGCAGATACGCCTTGCTGACTGGTGAGTGCCAGCTGGCACGAAACCTAGGTCCAAGGCTTCCTGTGGCCGATTGCCTCCTACCATCTAATATCATCAAAGTAAGAGTGTATCAACACAGCGTGTTGATCATATTTGACACTTGTTACCAGGCAAAATCACACTGTTTATCAATGAGTGATAGATTTGTGAACTGATATTTTGATGCATAGTAGTCATAAGAGTAAAGATGGGGTGGGGTGAGACGCTGGGTTCCAGAGACCCACGAGTTAGCCAGTGGTCATTAGACCATTTAAATTGAATGGTTCAATAGAAGTTGCTCTCAAGAAAAAAATAATAAAAGCCTTCCCATGTTATTAATGATTTGACTAAGTACAGAATTAAAGAATATGGGATGACAAAAAGCTATGAATATTAGAGAAAAGAAAGTGAGTGTTAAACGATAATTGTAATAAAATAACTTTAATGGTGATTTATACCAACGATTAGTACTATATGGGTTCCGATTTGGTGACATGTAAGAAGAAAGCTTAAAAAGTGTATAAAAATAATTTATACCAATTTAATTGAATTTGAGATTTTTCCGCTGATTGATTGGACCGAAGTGCTCGGTCCCAGTTTGACATGTCGGCTTCTTGTGCAGATGCTGCGATGATGTCTGGGAATGTAGTTAGAATTTAATTTGTGGATGGTGACTAGCAGTGGAATCCAGGATACGCGTTTCGTCCTGTTTGGTACTCGACAGCTGGATGTACCACGTTGGGAACATCCTCACCCACCGGGAAATGCAGGTACGTCCAGATGACGAGCCTCAAACGGGATGAAATGTGCACCCTGGATTCCACTGCTAGTCACCATCCACCAGTTAAATCTATACAAACGTCTAATAAACACTAAACACTAGAGTATGTAAGTGATAACTTGTCTTCTGATAGGTTTAACTCCATTTATGAATAATTATAGATCAGTAGTCTGTTGCTGAGACTAAAGTCAGTCCTCCTGAGAAGTCGCAAACTAGAACAAAACAGCTGTCTAGTGTTTCCTTGGTTCCAGTGGCTTTCTAAATGATGCCGCTTTGTGGTCTAATTTCAAACCAATCATATCTCCGCAAACCAAAATTTGAAAATGAAATGAGGCAGTTATAGATTATTCACAAATTGAAGAAGTTCGACAGGAAAAATTGTCTCTCGCACATGTGAAATGATCCCTGATGATTTAAGGAAAAATGTTTCGTCTAATTCGATTGCCATGCCTTCTGCTTTCAGTAATGTTGATAATGTTTGACTAACAGCCAAATACATAGAATACTCAGGTAACCAAAAATGCAACGGTCTACAGTGTTTAACTTGATGCTGTTTGATATTCAGTCAACTATCAATGTTTCTCCAGATTCTTCTTCACTTACATGATACTGGAAGGCTTTCGTGGTCTTCAAACGAATCTTCACATCCTTCTGTGGAGCTGATTTTCTTATTTTGTGGTACATTTATCTAGCCACAGGTGAGACCAGCACATTAGAAAAATCACCAACACATTATTCAACATGCAGTATTCGAATATGCTGATAAATCTTCAGAGTTTGATGCATTTTAAGGAGTAGTTAGCGGGTGTATAAATGATTTGATAAAGAAAATCAGAATGAAAACTCTTTGGGATGGCGAAATTTCATTGAGCAAAGAGTTTTATCACGAGAACAGTGATTGATCTCTACTGAAATGTTGTCAGAGGTTGTTGGAGACTGGATAAGAATAGATCACTAATAACTTATTATTTATGAGGAAAATGAGGTTCAAGAAAACTGAAAAAACATGCTTTACGTTTAGGTTTTTTCCATACATACATACAAGCAGTACACTTAGCAGGCACCACGTAGACAAATTTATACGGGAACACATATATATATATATTTTTGTGCAGCTTAAAGTTATACTCACCAGATTTTGGTGTGACTTTTGGTGGAAGAGTAGCAACTTTGACAGCTAGACCAAAAGCATCCTTGTACGTTGTACTGTCTCTAATCAGAAAACTGCCAGGGACTTGTTGGCGTAAAATACTGATAGCTGTTAGAAATAGATGAACAAGAGTTAAGCCATAGTTATAAAAAAACAAAAGATAATAAACAGTAAAACGATTTACAGCAGTTTGAGAATGCAAACTTAACATATGTAGGCAATAGTTTTGTTTTGCAATTAATAGTGTTATCTGAGCTGGTTGGTTTAGTTGCAGAGCTTTCATCCCACTTTATGCTAAATATTGCGCTGAAAATGTTGTCCAGAAGGACGACGAAAACTCCGCAACTAAACCAACCAGCTCAAAGAACACTATTATTTGTAAATCATCCACCTGAGCTACAAATCTTCCCTATTATTTCAATAGTTTTGTTTATAATCAAAGGACTCACTACAATGTAGGGCATATAGGTGATGATCGAAGCGACTAATGACTATAAGCAAGCCATTTACCTACTTATTAGTCACACACAAGAAGTACTTTTAATGTAAATGTCTAATGTGAATTTAACTTTCTGTAGTTTGAGCTCAGTAATTTGTCTAGAGTAATAGAGATCTTCGCGTAAAACCACAAATAGTTGGCTTAGGTATCTGACATTATATTTTACTGTCATGTCTGCGTTTCTTCTGATATATAATGTATTCCTCCATTCGCCTTCGTTTGTGTGTCCACCGGGATTACAAATCATCCATTAAATTATTCATCTTGTTATGTAATTCTAACATTCTCATTCAACTTCTTCTTTGTATTGGTTAATATTAGCAACTATGATTATTTTCAAGGGTTGGTTTGTAGGGATTTGATTTGTCCTTCAAGCTTGACGACGGATCGATATCAGTCAGACAACCGGTGGGAACCAGGCTATACAGCATGTGGAGATACATAGGAGACGTGAAAGGAACACAAAGACACACAATATGAAGTCCAGAAGTACCAGAACACGAAGATCTGTGTAAATGGTGCGTTGACGATAATGTCGCTATATAGCAATACCAATTTGCAAATAAAATTTCTTTACCAAGTCTTTCGTCTCCTACCGTTATACAGGGAGTACTGGACAGATGCTTCATCCTTGTTAGGGATTCATGGGCCAGTGAGTCGAGTCCCAGTATCTGGGTGGTCTACTAGATTACTTTATAACTGGGAGACCCTTGGTTCGAAACTTGTAGGGTGCGCACTGGGGATGAGTCCCAAATTGGGACGAGACGGCTGTCCAGTGCCCCCTGCTTTCCAATAGTTCTCTAACTGATATCAGTCCATGGTTAAAAACTATGATTATTGTACATCATCACTCTTGTTACTATCCCCTTTTGTGGAGAAGTTGTACATAAATGTGATTGTACAGCAAAGGAAAATGAATTCACCGAAGAGAGACTCTTCATGGAACTAAGTGGTGAATACAGTGGGAATGAGTAATTGAACAATGCCTCTTAGATAAGTAACCTTATAACTAGTAGTATTATAGCTCAGTGTCCTGAATGTTGAAATAATAAATGGGCCGTATGAATCGTATCTATAAGCGTAGAACTTCGACGTTGTGATACACTATAATTCCATGTTAATTTGTTTATCTGTCTGTCTGTTTTCGATATAGAACTTTGCACATGTGTGTAGCAGTTCAAGGCGCCACACTCCCTCCTTGTAGCACAGAAAGCAAGAGAAGAAAGTACAAGAAATGCATAATAGAGACAGAAACAGAGGTGTGAGACAAAGGAATAATAATAACGAAGAATAATATAGTTTCATTTGAAATCATAAGTCACAGGAAGGAAGTAAATGCATCTGCGCCATTGAGAGCGATTTTGAGCTGTATTACCGATTGTTTCCAACCATTGGTTTTTACCGTTCCGAAGACCCCAACCAGGAAGTCTACACCTTCCTACGTGACTGGCTTGAACTAACTGCTATGGATTTGATTGACTGGTGTCATGTTTTGGTTTGACCGCGGCTAGCTCTTTTCCAGCCTGACCCTATGTCAGCTAACATTGTCCGTCAGTCGTGGAAGGCGATGACTAGGCATATGTAACACATGTCCTAACCATCTCAGTCGATGTAATTTCACAACCTCGTCGATTGATTTCCCCTCCTTACGTAGCACTCGACCGAGACCTAACCTCAATGTTGCTCACCTTATTATTCTACCGCCCAACACGAGAGATAGAACGCAGGCACCTATGATCTAAGACAGCTAGCTAGTCTTTTCATGTCTTCCACTTTCAACGGCCAGGTCTCACAGCCATAAAGAAGGACGGAAGGCATTGCTGAGCAGTACACCCGCCCTTTGGTCGATAGCCGAATATCACATCTATGCCAGAGACGGCGTTTGTTTATGTGATAAAGCAAATGTTGATAAGGTCCTATTTAGTGGATGGTGTTTCGAGAAAAGTTCATAACCAAAATCAAATTTTAAATTAGAATTTTTAGTTATTAAGTGCCTTATTCCTTTATTGGCAACAGAATGTTCTCAAATATATCAGCAATAGGTGCTGAATCTTTCTGCTTGCATATATATATTTGATATTGATTCCATAAACAAAGACTCAGAAACCGATTTTCTCTTGACTCAGTCATACTGGAAATTGTTAGAAATTCACCCTTTCTCAAGTAACATAGTGTCTTCCAGTAACTAATGTTTTTGTATTACTATGCTATATTTCATCTTTATAGAATCTCATCATCTGCTGGGTATCGTCAAGACTGTTTTTTTAAAAAGCTGAGGTAGGTTGATGGTATACACAGAAGTGACAGTCTTAACTTCCTGAACGAAAAGTTTTCTACTGACTAGTTTCCTCATCGTGGTGGTGTATCAGAAAATGCCCAGTAGCTGAAAATCTTTATTTGCTAATATTAAGAGAGACTCAAAGTAACTGCGTGATGAGTGCACTAAAATTTCACGTTTCTCAGCACTTTTAGATCCAGAGATATCCTAAAACAATGTGGAACAAAAGCATAACTTAGGATATTAAATATATATATCAGACAAAAAGTATGCCTTTGAAGTCACTCACCTTCTTCCCTGGATAATTTTGGTCTATACCAGACACGAGCTGTTGCATTCACATGAGCCATATTACTACTATCCACCATGTCTTGTTTCGTTTTATCCGGCTTCCATCCATTTTGCATTGGAACTTCAGTACGCTCAGACATTCTTTTAGTAGTGGTCATTACATTTAGATTACTGATAACTTTTGTTGGTCCAATCACTGTTTGTGGAGTGGTTGCCACAGAAACATGATCCGAATAGGCAGCTGGTGTACCAAGACGACTAGGCGGCCGACTTTGGATTGGAGTACCTATTAAGGAAATATTTCCTGATATTAGGCTGAATATATGTATATATATATATATTGGAGTTTTAAAAAAATGAAACTATATTTGTTATCTGTTGGAGATTTAAGCTATGCGTTTTGATATCTTTAACCCGGATTTACTGAATGACTGTTATCAACAGTCTGAATACGTATAGTAACTGGGAAAGCGATTAGCCTGAAAAATTTAGGTTATTCGATCAGATCGTCATCTTCGTCGACTGGTAAACTGCATCCACCTTGTTTTCCCAATTCATCGTTCATATTTAATCCTAACCAGGTAGTCGCCATTCTTTTGTTCTACTAAGTCTCTGGAATTTCTTAGTATGAAGGTTATTTTATTTCCGTATGCTTCATTTTTATAGCTACAATAAAGTTTTGTTCGTCTATATCATTCGTGTAGTTGAACAGAACCTTCAGTATTTTATCGGAGAAATATATATCCTAGTTCAAAAGGAACTACTATTAATATATCAAACTTGTCTTACATTATCTGGAATTGGGTCTACTAGGTATACCATAGATGGCCACATTAATGTATAATTCCCTAATTATCTTAAAAATTGATTCAGACCTTGTTCGATAGCCTGATAATCTAAATCTGGTTAATTAGGTTGTCACACTCTGTATTATACAGTATGAGTATATAAGTATATTATTATTTGTTACTCCCTTGGATTCTGAGTGGAACATAGGGCTTCAGCAGCCCATCTATCTTCATTTCACCCTGGCCTCTGAATTCCTTTTTATCTGGATTCGTGATTGTCCATAATCTTTCATATCCTCCAACCCAACTCGTTGTTCCCCATACAAGTTCCACTCAACAGCCCGATGCGTGATGTCAAAGTTGTTAATGAAAACAGATTAATTCTAGATTTAACTGTTATTTATGTAATAAATAAATCAAGTTAAACATATAAAACATCCTCTTTATTCCTACAACTTACTCGATACTTGTTGAACACGATTTATAGAAATTGTATGATCCCCATCATGACTGTAGTTTTGTCGATTTAGATATCTAAAGTAAAGCAGAAAGCAGTCTGGATTTAAAGTGACTGTTTACTCATCCATTGTTACACATGAGTAATCCTTGATTGAGAATAAATTTTTATTGATGATTCTTCAGTGTTTTAACTCATCATGATTACATGCTATTTGTTTTCTATTGAGATTTCCATGCAATAGTGGAAAATGAGTGAAACTTACATTAATAAAGAAACTTGTATTCACTTTCTCAGTTACCGTTTACAAACTATTCAGTGAAATTTTAAATATCTTAACATTCGCTCATAATTCACTTAAACGAAAATTTATAGGATTATGTAGATTATGGTGAAGCCTAATAACACTAGGGACTAGTTCCAGTGCTTTCCATTGAAGATTCAGTAAATTCCAATTCACTTTATTCTACGTGTCCTGCAGCAAGATATGAGATTGTTTTACGCTTATATTCAGTAAACTAATGGGAGACTTTTGAAGTGTGTTGCTTAACATTTTCATGTAGAAGTAATTCGCTTAAGGTAATTCTGAGACGCTGGGTAGAAGCTAACAAGTTAGGCGAATATAATGATATTAGATAGTTGAAGGCGATCGGTAGGAAGCCTTGGACGTAGATTTCGTCTCTAAATGAGGCAGTGGGTGACGCAGATTCGAATCTCAGAAGGCACATGAGTTCCTTTGAGATTGCAGATCCGCCTTGCTGATTAGCGCCGACTAGCATGAAAACTGAGGTCCAAGGCTTCCTGTAGTCGATTGCCTCCAACCATCTAATGTTAATAATTCAAAGTGCACCGTGATGGCGAGCTACCTAGAGGCATGGTGGCCACATTACAAACCTGACTGATAGAATTCAGTCTGCACCAAAGATAGGACTAGATAATTCCCACTAGTTACTAGTGTTCAGTCAAAGTAGGCGAATATATCTTCTCTGCGAGTTTTGGAGAGATAGGCAATTACTAAAGCATATGACCCTGAATAATTCTACCAAACGAAGATGGAACAACAAATTAGTTAGTAAGAAGAAATGAGAAAGACTTATTTTACTTATTCTTGAACTCTCTTTAAAGCCTTTCAATGACACCAGCTAGTTTGCATGAAAACATGGTAGGTGTACCTTAGATGCCGCTGTTGTCCTACATCATAATATAGTCTCTAGTTTATATAGAGGAGCTAAATACGTTCGTGTGCCTTCCTTGATTACACATCTGCATTTGACTCTGTACCCAGGTCTCTCTTGCTAAGTGACCTTACTGCAACACAGGCTGAGAGCTGGACAAATAAGTGGCTGCATTCCTATTTTTCTGATAGGAGGCAGGACACTGTCTATAATGGAAAGTCCTCCACTACCTCACTTACATATAATGTCAAGTACCTTGGGCTGAGTTTTTCCACCGATCTTTCCTGGTCCTCCCACATCTTGCTGGTTTCTAGAAAGATGTTTCGCTTAACGTTCTATGTTTGGAAGTTTAGGCAGTCTGGTATAAAGCAGTCTTTGCTTTCTCAGTTTGTCAATTCTTGTATTCTACCCATCCCCCATTACTGCTCCCCATTAATCTTTTCTGGACTACTTAAGAAAGACTTTGCTTCGCTGAGAAGGGCACTAAAAGCCGTTAGTAGGGCTAGTGGGATATCGTTAAACCAACTGGTGGTTAACACTATTGTGGATAGACATATAATGTTATATAAGAAACTAGCGAATACAATATTGTCGGACCCCGAGCATCCTCTCCATATGCAGCTATCTCCTTGATTTTCATCTGGTAGAACTAGAAGCAGCTATAGGAGGCTATATGCTAGGACTACCAAGTACAAAAACTCCACAATACCATATCTGGCACAGTTGTTATGTGATGAGAAATCCGTTAGGTATGATATGATCAACTTACTGCTGCGCTCTAACAAATAGTCCCATTAGTTTCTGTTTTCCTTTCCTCGTTACTATTACACTGTTGTTCTCATCTTCTATCATACATTAATTTTATATTTCATATTCTGTGTTGCATTGTTTAAAATGTAAACGCAACGCTGTTTTTTTTTACTTCTTTTTATTTATCTATTTTTTTGGCTGTTGCTTTTTGATTTTAAAATCTTATAAAATTAATGAGGTAATTAGATGCAATATATTGTAATGCACGCTGAAAATTCCATACCTGTATCACAAATACTGTTTGGAATAAAGCTGTTATTATTATTATTAACTTTCACTGAAAGCAAATCAATTTATAAAGTATAATCTATGCATTTTTCCAATTCTAATCACTCTGTAAGTACACCCCATTTTAAAGAAAATATAACGGACTATGAGACTTCATAATATTAACTATAACAACTCAGCGTAGGCACTCGAAAGTACCTATGATTAGAGTATGTTTGAGTCCTATCTACTTTCATTGATAATAATAACTTTATTCTGGACAAAATACATACATAATCTACAGAAACCTCAGTGTAATTTCTCGCATAATATTTTTACTTTATCCAGGATCTTCAATTAGAGTAGAAATCTGTAGTATATCATGTGACAAAATGCTGTTCGATCTGAAGCCTATGCTAATCCCTATTGATAATTTTCCTTCATCCCCAAGAAATGCTCACAGTTAGCTACAAAGCCAACTAAAATGTGCGTGAGTACAGTTTGCTACTAAAAAAATTGATTACAGGATTTCACCATGAGCTGACATTGGTTAGAGAACCATTGGAAAACCTGGGAGTACTGGACAGCTGTTTCGTCAGCCTAGTTTGGGACTCTTCAGCAGTACCCACCCACCATCACCGTTCGAACCCAGGACCTTCTGGTTATAAGGCTGGCGAGCTCGTATACCATTAAGCCACTGGGACCCGATCCAGTGACCAGTCCATGAATTCTAACTTCTGCCAAATCACGATATAGCGCAACCGCTAGCCAATGTCTTCGGTGAGTATTTGTCCTCACACCCGACCTGCTACATTCTACTTGGCACGACTTCCCAGTGGAATCCCAAATAGCTACCTACCTGAATACGGCGAGTCGCTAGTGAGCATCTCATTGGCATTCAAGTATTGGTTTGTGCTTGACTCTAGTCCGACTTTGTGAGGAAACATGATGGATGTAGAATATATGGGAGCTGGGTGCTTCGGTGCCTGGCGTCAGTGAAATACTACTGCTGTCATTGTTTCTTTACTTATTCAGTGAAACGGGAACGAAATGGTATTTCGGTGTGAAGCACATGCTGGCATACGCGGTCTAACGCTGCGTGTGTCAGTGTCATGGTCATATCAGATGAATCGTGGTGCAGATTGCGGTGTTTGAGTCTTGATGTGATGTGCGACCTGTTCTGAAGACCATGTCAGACGGGGAGTTTGACTGGGGCGGTACATCTATCAAATAGTAAGACAGGCGTCCTATGGTGAGCTCAGTCAAGACAGAAACCTGGCGTAGAGTAAAAGGACAAAAGCTTACTTGATTTCCCAATGGTTTCTCTAACCAATGTCAGCTCATGATGAAATCCTGTAACCAGTCAACCAAATCCCTACAAACCGATACTTAAAAAAATAATTGACTTGTTAAAACAATAAGAATTACGAAAAATATGATGCATTTTCATACACTTATTCCCCTTTGATGAATTTGTATAGAGCAAAAACAACAGTGGTTTGTGCAGAATAAGATCATACTATCATCAGTTTGATTGGCTTCTTATCATCTGCTTACACTCTAAATAAATTATTAAGTTTACGTACAGAAAAGTCTTAACATATTTGCAAATTTTACAGGATGCCAATTGACAGGAGGTTTCGGAACTAGTGAAGAGTGCTCGGAAAATTATGCTTATATAGTTTTTACACTGAGAATTCAAGTTTAAACAAAGTAAACGTATGCATACAAAGCCTTCCAAATGTCAGACAGGTAACTTTACTTTCAAGTATCGACGTGACATACATGAACTGGTTAGTTCCCATGATGCCTGTAGCATAGATGGCACTGAAATTGAAACCAAGTCAAGTATTAAATACCTTGGATTAGTTCTTTCCTCTGACCTTTTTTGGTCATCCTACATCTTATCGATCTCTAAGGACATGTTTCGTCTTACCTTTTACATTAAGAAGTTAAGATAAACAGGTATCAACCAACCTTTAGGTTTGCAATTTTTAAACTCCTGTATTTTACCTATTGTACTCTACTGCTCTCCATTAATCTTTCCTGGGCTTCTCAAAAAGATTATATCATATTACGAAGAGTATTAAATGCTGTGAGTAGAGCTTGTGGTCTGCCACTGCATGAGCTCGCTAATACTATAGTCGAGAGGCATATAAATTCCTGTACGAAATGGGCAAAGGCTATAATGTCAGACCCTCTGCACCCCCTTCGTTCACAACTGTCCCCTTGATCTCATCAAGTAGGACGAGAAGTTAATATAAGAAGTTATATGCTCACACCATTTAGTACAAAAGTTCCACAATACCATATTTATCCCGTATTTCATGTGATGAAGACACTGTTAGACGTGAAATATATAAGTTACTATGTAATTAGCAAAGTGAATCAACACTTTCATCGTTCATTTTTCTGTAATTTTATGGTGTCACCCTTTCTATCGTTTAATTATAACTTAGGTACTTTATTTTAGTTGTTATTACTATTATTACTATAATTTTATACTTTATACATCTTTTTCTCCTCATCGCATACTGTAATTTTCTACATAGCTGCTATAACAATGTTGTGTTATTATTATTATGTAATGGCTAATTTTTTTGTCGTTTTGAGCAAATTAGATGCAATATTATACTGAATGCTGAAAATTCCTTGCTGTATCATTAGTACTGTTTTTGGAATAAAGCAAAAACAATTATTATTAGTAGTAAAGAAGTTACGGAATAAAGAAGAGACGTACGTAAGATGATGGGTAATAGATAAACTAAATGACAATATGGTCACAGAAACAAGAGACAAGCAAAATTACACTACATAGAAAGGGGGTCTGAGGTTAAAGCCAGAGATTACGTAGTCAAACGAAAGAAAGAATAAAGACTTCCAGTTACCAGGGCAAGAAAAAGACTGATAACTGCTTCTTTCTGAACACAAAAGTCGGGTTTCAGGCGTTTGATCGAGACTACTTTGACAAACATGATGAGAATGGAGCTTTTTTGTCCATTGATAAATTTAAAGGATATTGCGATTTCCACGTCATAACCCGTATGGATGAGATGCCTGGTAATGGCAGATTTACACAGCAACTTGCTAGCTTGTTGGCAAATGACTGAAAATGTCTAAATATCACAGACTGCTTGACGCATTCATTGAAAAACGAAATATTATGCAGTGAGGTTTTAAAATTTCAATGAGTGATCTTATTTTGAATCGGAATGTTGAAATTTTAACGAAACCCCAAACTTGACAACAATGCTACCAAATTTCAGGTAAGTTGCACTGATATTTCAGGGAGTAAGAATGTGCTCAAAGTCACAGAGATGTCATAGCCATGCATACTAAGTAATACAGTTGGAATAATAAACGGCTTCGTAAGAGCACACATCCAGCGGTTCTCCAAATGATGTCAGCTCATGACGAAATCCTCCATACAACCAGACGAAATCCCTTGAAAATTAATATGATGCTCATTAGCGACTGGCCCTATACAGGCAATTAACCTGGGGTTCCAGTGGGAAGCCTTGACCAGTAGGGTGCAGTAGGTCGAAGATGAGGCAGTAACTCGTCGAAGAAGACATTTCGAAATGGTCGTGCTATATCGTGAATTGGCAGAAGTTAGAATTCATGGGTTGGCCATTGGATCGAGTCCCAGTGGCTCAATGGTCTACAAGCTCACTAGCCTTGTAACCAGAAGGTCCTGAGTTCGAACCGTGGCGGTGGGTGCGTACTGATGAAGAGTCTCGAAAGACTAGGACGAAACAGCTGTCCAGTACTCTAAGGTTTTCCAGTGGTTCTCTAACTGATGTCAGATCATGATGAAATCTTCCATACAATCATACATAATGGATTGGTTCTAAAGTCTTAGGAGTAGCCTAATGACGAGTGTCAACAAATTCGTAAACATTTAAAAGACAAAATTCAAAACAAAAAACACCACCAATAAAAAAGAAAGACTTACTGAGTTGAAGCGAATGGCTGACGCACTAGACTTGCACGTGAACTAGCACGTTGATGCTGATGATGATCATCAACTTGACTTAATCCTTTTGTTATTGTTGTTGTAAATTTCAACAAATTAGGGAAAATTAGGCGGTGTAATTGAAGAAAAAAAAACAAAGAAATGTACTATATATATATATATATCAGTTACATTTTGAATATAAGTGGAATAAACAGTTTTTATTGATTAATTGGTCAACTGCTATAGAAATGCGATGCTATTGTCAGGTAAAGTTATGCAATTCAAATGCGAAACAATTTGCTGAGACAGGCTATTAGCAGTAAGGGTTAATTTAAACTAAAAATTACTAAAACAAAGGAAGGAAAAACAAATTGAAACTTGGTATAACTGTTTAAGTATTTGAACATCATACACAACAAACACGTCACGTAGGGCAGCCAATAATTTTATAGGCTTATGGTTTCTTATGACTTTTATAGACTGTATCCACTATATCTTTTATTTTTTTTTGATTATAGCATGATTCCACACCATATTTTTGGTACAAGTATAGAATTTTCAACATGTGATATGGGTAGCTCAAATTTTGCAGGCCAACCCTTGATATCAGGTGTGCGTCGGCAGGGGATTGAACCCCGGACCATGTGCATAGTCGACGAGAGACCTAACCACTGTGCTAACGACGGACACAACTATAAAGAGATGTAACCTGTTGGCTGCCACCTAATCGGTCTTGGGTTCGAACACAACCACCATGCCTACTTCAGATTGGGCAACTATGTAGTCTCATTAGCATTCACACATCAACTTTGACTTACATTCGGGTATAGAATAAACCTGTTTCCAGTAACTGATTTATAACATAAACCATAAAATAATTTTGTGAATTTTGGCAGAGACGAAGCACCCAAAAATTCAGATTTTCGCTTGGATTGGCCAGAAAATAAGTCCTCAACTAATAGGGCTATATCGCCTCCTTATCATAAATTAACTAAAATTGAATTCCTGAGAGGTGGAAATCAAACACAAACAAGTACATCAATCAGTTTAAAATACAATCAAACGACCCTACAGGACGTGATTAGTTATTATCCCTTCAAATGAATCCTCTTGGAAAGCGTTTGCAAGACTTCTTGTGATCAAGTAAAATACAATGACTAGAGTGAAATACTCAATGTATATCTTGACACCTAGACACTGAGACAATACTTTCAATTGACTGAATCACACGAAACCTTTAGTGAATAAATGAAGTGTCATATACGGTCACATCTCGAAAAGAATGGAAGTCAGAATTACCTACTATACTCTCGTATAGGCATAAAAACTGTCTAGTTTTCAAACACAACAAATGATTACAGATGTTAGGAGTTTTGACACTCTTTTAGTCCCGTTTCCCACTAACTGAAGTGAATGATGTGTTGAACCAGTTGAATGTAACCACTTTTACTAGTTAGTACCCCTATTGTGCTGATCAATAATTCCATAGGGCCATGCATGAACACTTCTGATTTCAAACAGCTGCTATCTTGTATCTGATTAGAAACAACCCTCACAACTTCAAGCAGATATGGAGGACTAAAATCTACATAGCCTTCACGATGCAGCTAGATATTGGGGTCTACTTAGCAACAATAAGAAATCTATTATACCTTCAAGGTTATGATTAATTGTATTTAAACAGTTTATATAATTAATGAAACTGCAGAAATATGTGCAGAAAATAATAATAGTAATCTTAAATGTAATGTGTTAACACTGAGTTAGATGTTGCGAAATATTTATTCTTGCCTCTTTTTACAAACAATTTTATTATTTAAAAAATTATATAAAACCATAAATAATGAGCAGCATAGGTAAATGATACATATATATATATATGACAGACATACCAGCAGCAAAATTAGGAAACACAAAAGAAAATAACTGCAGTTTCAGTGTATACTGTAGGCTTTTATTTTAGTAAAAGAGTTTACTTCAGTCTCAAATTTAATTGAACTTTAAATTTTCCCGTCGATTGATTGGAGCGAAAAGTGCTCGGTCTCAGGTTGACATGTCGACTTCTTGTGCAGATGCTTCGACGATGTCTGGGTATTTATTTAGAATTTAATTTGTAGATGGTGACTAGAAGTGGAATCCAGGATGCGCATTTCATCCTATTTGGGACTCGTCAGCCGGATGTACCTGCATTTCCCAGTAAGTGATGATGTTCCCACCGAGGATGGAACCCAGTGCCCATAGTTTCAAACGCCAAAGCGTTATCCACTAGACCCTTTTGGCCAACATCCATAAATTAAATTCTGATTAAATTCCCAGACATCGTCGAAGCATCTGCACAAGAAACCGACATGTCAACCTGAGACCGAGCACTTCGGTCCAATCAATCGACGGCAAAATCTAAAATTAAATTAATATGACCCGTTGCACAAGAGGTGGCTCTCGTGGCCTGGTGGATAACGCTTTGGCGTTTGAAATTATGGGCACTGGGTTTGAGCCTAGGTGGGAACATCACCACTCACTGGGAAATGCAGGAACATCCAGATGACGAGTCCCAAATAGGACGAAGTGGGCATCCTGGATTCCACTACTAGTCACCATCCACAAATTAAATTCGTTGTGAAATGTCTGGAGGCAATCAGTAGGAAGCCTTTGACCTTGGGTTTCACGCAAGGAACTAATGTCCCTTCCAAGATTCGAACCTGAATCACCCAGTGGGTCAGTGAAAGACGTTACCGTTGAGGTATTCAAGCTCATCCTTTCCAAAAGAATACTTCAGTCGAAGATAATGACACTGAAGGCCTCAAATCGAGCAGGCCATTTAAATGTTCGTTATATATATCTATATAGATTCAGGTATACAAGTCAAAAATTTGTCTCTCAGTTACGGTGGCTTTGCTTATATCTTATTATTATGAAATCTATGTCACACCAGTATAACTTTGGAAATATATTCAGATGATGAAATATAAAAAATCTATGAACTGAGAAAATCGAAAGTTTATCAGACAATTTACAGTGTTTTAACACTTGATGTATTCGAAAGTACAGAAATATATTAAAAATTCAGGTGAGAAGTCAACTGATAGAATCAAGCATTCTACTTCCTCTAAAATATCCAATAACTATTTTATGCCTTCATCGGATGCTAAACATAAGGATAAGAAACAAGGATCTCCGCCAGATAGCAAACCAGGCAATAACCTATTACTTAAAGAAGATACAGACGGAAGCGTAGATGAGCTGAACATACGTTGGGGAGACCGTCAAGTGAAATGAAATGATTAGTCTTCGAGCCAAACACAACTAGAAAGCAATGAGTTGCATGTTCGATGGTGACATAGGGACTTATGACACTCTTTTTCCTTCACGTTCCCCAGAGGAACATAGGGCTTCAAGCTAGTGGCTTGAAGTTTCTGTAGCAGTGTTTATTTTACAGGATGGGGTTGCTAGCCTCATGTCCAACCTTTCCTCTTTACCAGCATTATTTCTGTCTTAGCGAGGTAAATGAGTGCATCAGTGGCTGGGTATCGAACCCCGGACCATGTGCATGGTCGGCGAGCGTCCTAACCACTACTATGCCACCGACGCTAAACATCATCAGGGCGGGGCGCATGCATATAGCACACAGCCTTTTTAAAACCTTGCACACAACCATTAGGTCGCGTAATATCCCATCACTCTAGGCAGATCTGGCAGCAAAAGTCACGAGAACACCATCAGAGCATATGATAGGCTGGGTACCCCAGACCTACGACATGTAAAAAGGAAACGAGATCTTGTGAACAAACATGCAGTTAGCTTTAAACAACAGCAGAGAGCAGAGTTTAAATGAAGAGGCGTCATTGAAGTCATGTGTTCCATTTAAAATCCAACGAACAAGTATTATATTTATATATGCAAAGCTCTTAAATCAATCACTCATACCTGTGTTCGTTGGCATTTACATAAATACGGCAAATACTTTACATGTTTTGTTCTGTTCATTTATTTAGAGCGCTTAAGATACATTCTCTGGTTTAGAAGTGACTGAATCTTCAAAATTAATTCACCAGTGTTATGCACATACTAATTGCAAAAAGAAAACAGTTAGATAACCCCAATGTCATACGACTTGGTTTCAGTAGAGCAATCAAGTTGACTCCATTCAACTTAATCCTACTAAATTCAACATTAATGCTGAAAGAAAACTAAATGGTTATGTTACTGCGTACTTGAAAGAATATTTCTCCACTGTTCACCGGTAACTGATTTGCTTTTTATTTTTTTAGCTTTCTCCCAAACTATAGATAATTAATCTGATGCTTGCTAATGACTTGCTACAGGAAGGAGTTGCCTGGAGTTCTAGTGAGAAGTCGTGACCAGTGAGGTCCAATTAGATGTCACGTGTGTGGATGGATGTCCCACCAACGACAATGGCTGGGGTCGCGCTAAATCACGAAATCGTAGAAGTTAGAATTCATGGGCTGGCCAGTGAATCGGGCGCCAGTGGCTGAAAGGTATACGAGATCACTAGCCTTATAACCGGAAGGTCCTGGGTTCGAATCCCAGTGGATGTGTAATGCCAATGATCCCCAAACTAGGATGAAACAGCAGCTGTCCAGTAATCCCTGGTTTTCAATGCTTCTCTAACTGATATCAATCCGTGATCAACTCGTAAAAACATAACTAACCCTTACAAACCAAACTATAGAAAAGAAAACATTAACAAAAGCTGCATTCTTAGCCCATGTTGCATAAATCACCTGCATAGCTGTAGTTGGATTAAAAAAATGCTTGCAACCATCAGCGGCATCAGCCTAGCTAGTATACTGTTATCTCTCTTATTTTAACCACATTATTTAGAAGATATACATGTAATTAGATTAGTATGCGAACACCAAAGTTTACTATTGCTGTTACTGCACTACTTATATGCATATGTATAAATACTTTTACTTATCAATGGTTACACTACAGGTACCAACCATTTATTTCAGTTGTAAACACAGTCTTTCCAGGTTCGATTAAATCTGATGCGTCATTAACACCATCACTATTATTATTATTATCATTGTTATCCTCGATAGACTCATCAGTATTATTGGAAGAACACGGTGAAATATCAGAATGACCATTTGTTGGTTGGATGACAGTCTTTGATTTTTCAGGTAATGTCCATAATTTCAAACGTTCAGGTGGTTTTTTCATGGAGACAACTTTTTTCAAGTTAACTAACTCAGATTCATCCATGTCTAGATTATTATTATTATTATTGTTCAACAGGATACTTTCTGTACGTGATTCATACTTTTTAATATCTTTTTTTGTAATAACTACAGGATGTGAATCATTTAATCTTTTAAGATATGGTGCCAAAGTTGTTGGCGGGTTATTCAATTCCAATACTTGAATTTTTGCCATTTGTGTATTAGGCATTAAATCTTCACAGTTAACACGTTCTAATGGTGAAATGTTCATGTTTCTTTGACTTTTCCATGACTTACTAGTTGGAGGCGGTGATGTACTCAGTCGTCTTGGTAATGCTGACCATAATGGAGAGCCTCTAATATCTCGACCTGGATCAGGTGAACGTGATTTCAGCACGGGATATGTCTCACCGGAACCACCAAATATAGACTGAGATTTTTGTAGACCAGGAGTAGAAAATCCTTTACTATGTCCACTATATCGAGTAGGTGTTGTACTGTGCGCTCGGTTAATAGGATAGGTTGGTGAGTGTACTGTTGGTGTCTGGAATGTTGGTGTTCGAACAGTGTGTTTATGGACTTTGTCACCAGTGAGTGAGTGGTCAGTTAGTTTTTAAATTTCCCCAAATAAAGGAATTTTTAAGAAAAACAAAATTATGTATATTGAATATAGTAGTATATAAGAAACGTTTATTATATTTTTGTGCACACCAATGTTGTTAGGTATTAAAATCAGTGAGTTATGATTAGTATTGGAGAAATAGAAAAAAAGTAAAGAAAAAAATTAAACAGATGAGCAGGAAATCAATAGATAGAACATAATAATAATAATGATAATTGATTTTCTTCACTTTTAATAATTTATGCATAAATTAATTTCAAGTAACTTTTTTTCATAATACCCTATTCTAGGAATGAAGCGAACTGTTTGACGAATTAGGCCTTTATTAATAGATGGTGCGACTATTTGGGATCGTAATAGAGAAGATCTAAAAGGCATGACTCGTATGAATGACAACTAGACATTATTCGTGATAACTACATTGAACTGATATCCTGGTTGGTTTCTGGGAATTATAATTAAGCTGGAAGGATGTCTTACAAGTAGTCTGAAGTCTGGTGGATTAGAGACCTAAGTAGACGACTATCAAAAGAGCCTCGAACAACCAATCAGATGAACTCACAGTACTCTTTGGATAATAGGTTTATGGGAATGAATAATACTTCTTCATGTGGAGGAGTAACGATTGTGCAGAAATGTGCAGCTTCCTTTGATGGATATGTATACAGATGTCCAGATTGTCATTGCAGAAAATCCATGCGAGAAGATATTTCGTCCCTGTTTTAAGTGCATTGGTGCTTCAGGTAATTTTTTCATGATATCAGAACTATCTGTATTCAAAACTATCATTGTGTGTCAGAACTGGATTTCAGGCTTGGTAAATGGCCTACGAAATACCATGACATATATAGTCATCATGATGAATTTATATAGCGATATTGGTTTTGACTATTAGTTAGGACTCCAGTGAGGAACTGGAAGATATTCATAAAACATTTAAGAAATGGCTACCCTGTATGACTCATTTTTACCACTTGCTTTGAATTCGACAGGATATTCCTTTTAGACTGCTCTCTTTTACTATGGGTTCAGCTGAGTGATTATTCAAGGTTATTTTGACGGTCATCCACTCGGTTGCTATAGTTTGCTGTAACCGTGTGATTACTGGAACTCTCCTGAAATCCAGGATTTCATTTCAACTTCAATTATAATCCACCATATAGATTTGCATTGACTGATTATAACAAGTTTTAGGGTTAAATTGTATTTCCTGTTGGTTGATTGTGTTGAGCCGAAATGGTCAGTCGCTATTGACGCATAGACTTCTAGTATGGAGGCTTCGATAATGTCTGAGGTGGATTAACGTGAAACTACTTTGGTAGATGGTGACTAGCAGTAGAATCTATGATACGCATTTCATCTTATCTGGGACTAGTCAGATGGATTTACCCGCATTCTCAGTGAGTGCTAATGTTCCTATTGAGGTTTGAACGCTACAACCATCACTCCAAACTCCAAAGCACTATCCAAGAGACCGCATGACGTAATACTTCGATTAATTATTTTTTCTTCAATAAAATGAGTAGAGTGACAATGACTTACTTCGAAAATATACGTACTTCATAGTATGAACAGAGGAAAATTTGAATCCCTTCATTTCTTCTAGTATTTATCTTACGGGTGTAATAAAGTCTAGATCTTGTATTATGCAAATGTTGTGTGGTCCATGAGCAGTTTCAGTCGACTTCTGAATTAATTATTAGTAGGCACACTGCTTAAATTTGGATAGCGTTATTAGAAGGCGGAGATTATCTGAAAATGTGATGTACTTGCGCTATACATTTCGAAAAGTCTGATCACACAGCCCAGCTTGTATTTGTCGAAAAAGCTAAAAATATGCTCCACTGCAAACCTCAAAAGTGCACAAGTGATTATGTCACTTCCCAGACTATTTACCAATTTTCGTGAGTGTGTGTGGTCACACATACATAGAGAGGAGTAATCGCGCTTTGCATGTGAGGGTGAGAGAGCATACCCAAAATGGTTAGAAAAAGAAATGAATTGTGAAACACCAATAGATGCAGGTGTCATACTACCAACTTCCTCTATAGCTTAACACCTAATCCAGATGAATCATAAGATTGATGTCATCTATAAAACCGGTCAAGGGCGCTTTTTGAAATACGCCGAGGCTATAGCTATTCATAAACTTAAGCACCCCCCCCATGTGTATTCAAAAACAGTTTGTTATTACTCTTAACCTACCTTGGTAATCCTTATTTGATTGGATTACCAAATGTGGTGTTAATCATTCTTAAATCGTTTTTTTCACTTTGTTTAATTTAACTTTTTCATGTATATATCGACTTGACAAGTAAATGTGTGACCACACTGTTCAAAATGTATAGCGCAAATACATCACATTTTCCAGATAATCTCCGTCTTCTAATAACGTTATCCAAATTCATAAAAGGGACTAATTGTTTTAAATCATTGCTTAAAGTTATAATAAGGAATGCAAATTTTCCTGTAGATATCTTTAGGAAGGTATAACGTTTCGATTTCCTGCTTTGCATATACAGTATAAGGCGAATTAACGGAGAACCAAATTGGTTAAATGATTGCAATAAACGCTGATATATACCGTTTGGCTTTCGCTTACTGCAGGTAGCCAACTAGAAGGAGGATGTTTTCTTATTTAAGTTTCTTGGCAGGTGAATGAGTAGATAGAACATCAAGTTACTTGAGTATGAGAAGCGAACGAAATTACCTGCTTACTCCATACATTTTCCTTGAAAATGGAACCCTAAGAGCGTAAATCTGAATACATCTTAGAAGGGCATATAAAAGCCTGACTTAGTAGTTCACATTTTATTATTAGTGGAACTGTTGTAGAAGCATGAGGTCACAGCTAATGACAAATAATTATTTCTCACTGATATAGACGATTTACAACTCAAAACAAGTTGATATTAATGACTTGATGGTTTCTGAGAAAATAGGAGTATTTCACTTCACTCTGCAAAGTGGATTCTAATGATACTGGCTTGCTTAATGATGAGCTGTTCACGATATATTATCATAATTGAGAAAATTCCTTAGCAATTAATTACACTACATTTAATTAAACGTGGTTTTTTGTCTGTTTTACTTGCTCATCAGTAGAGTACGTTTCTCGTATTCTTTTGGAGCATGGGGATACCTATAATTATATATCACCTTTTAAATTTGAGCTTTAAATTTTCAGTAGCAGTGGTTCTATTTTTACGGGGTTTGGTTGTTATTCTCACGTCCAACCTTCCCTCTTTATCGATTTTACTATCGGCCCAGAGAAGTTTAGGAGTGCTCGCTAATGACTTGCTACAGGATGGAGTTTCCTGGAGTTCTAGTGCGAAGTCGTGACCAGTGAAGTCGATCCAGTCAGGTGTGAGGATGAGTTCCCCACCGATGACACTGGGTGGTGGTCATGCTTAAATCCGTAATTGGCAGAAGTTAGAACTCATGAGTTGGCGACTGAATCGGGTCCCAGTGGCTGAATGGTATACGAGCTCACTAGCCTTGTAACCGGAAGGTCCTGGGTTCGAACCCTAGTGGTGGGTGCAAACCGCCGATGATTTCCAAGGAGCTAGGATGAAACAGCTATCCAGTGCTCCTTGGTTTTCAGTTGTTCACTAACTGATATCAATCCGTGATCAACTCGTAGAAATGTACGTATATATACTGTAGTGTTTAGGATTAAATACAGCTGAAATGCGGTGATAGGCACCATAAACGTACAGCATAGTATAAAAAGTATTGCTATTGGTTTACTGAAATTAATACATACTATTAAGTGTATATAATATCATGTTGCACCGTTTTTATTGGATTATTCAGAATACTGAAGTGGAAAGAAACCATATATTTATTTTATTTTAATAATTTTTTCCCCAGTAAAATATAGAACTATATCGATTTAACATAAAACACATTGTATAATAGTCAACAAACTCAAAGCTTTACCTTTATTGATGTTATTTATAAAGTTTCGTCTTGTTTGTTTATTTTTAAACTATAATGATGACTTATCTTACCTGAAAGATAGAAGTGATGTTCTTCTAAAGAAGTATACATATAGTACGAGGAGGAACAGCTTAATTTGTCGTGTCAAGACGTACTTACTGTTGAGGTCATATGGTATGAAAAAAAGTGTTTAAAATAATACTCATAAATATTTAATTTCGCAATTGGTCAAATAACAAAGGAATATGGTTTCGTCTCATATTCACCTCATTTTATTAATCCTCTGACAAGTGACCTACTAAGAATAGACTAAACTATTTTCCTATTCCGATGATATTCTTAATCAGCCATAATATTAATAAGCTGAGAAACTGAGAGCAGTTCTCTGAGAGAGATAGGATATGTCTAAAACGGAACTCATTTTACGCATATATATGAATCCATGATAATATGCCTAAGGCCTTGAATTGCACACCACTGGTGAACTTAGCTTTAAACATGCGAAACGGCCGTCCAGTGCTTAGATCACTTCTGTACGGTTAACAGATAATTCTACCGGATGATGTGAGTGGTAACCATCTACTCATATCAGTCGATAAGTAGATTACCTAATGCATTGATTACTGTCTATGGTATTCAGCTGATCATATGCATTGTGATCTGGATAATTTCAGCTTCCAAAGGCAACTGTGCAGGAATTTCACCTCCTCGATCTGCGTCAATTGCAAATCACGAATCAGTTAACGAATAGCGCGAATTTGATTGAATATATATTTTAACTTTGAATTAGAGTTATGTGAAATAATTGTGAAACAGTCATTAATATTGATTTTGTGACCTGACATTAATAAGTGATTTGCAATGGATGATGCTGGATTTCTGTTCAGATTAATCGCATTGGGTTTTTCGATATGATTTAGTAGCCATTTTGGAACATGTTCTTTTCGACGACATTGGAACATTCTGTTGGTTCTACCTATTTAGGTGTCACCACAGCTGCAGGTGAACTTGTAGATGCCGTTTGAAGTAGAATTCACAGAATTTCGTCCTTTAATTGTGGATACAGGGATCGAAAATGTTCGACAAGTGAGGAAAAGAGATTCGGCGGCGTAGAATGTGCGTTCTATGGCTGATCGAAGTCTTTGAGCTGACAATTGCATAATCTGGTCACCCTTGAATGGTAGATTAATAAAGATAGCTTTCTTTGGTACAGAAGCTGTCTTTTTGACATGTGGTCTTTTTTACTGTGACAAGTGAAAAGTTTTCCGGATAACCATCAGCTAATAAAACTGATTGCATATGTCGAAACTCATCCCTCAATGCGTCACTTGTGCGTATTTTTCGGGCCCTTGAGAACAAACATTTCACTAGGGAACGTTTATATTGGATAGGAACAAAACTGGTAAAATGAAGATATTGTCCTTTTCATGTCTGTTTACGAAAAATAGAGCGCTAAATCGTTCCATCATCTCTCCTAGTCATAGTAATATCCAGGAAACCGAGTTTGTTAGTCGAATTTAGTTCGGAAGTCACTCTAATATTTGGATGAATATGATTTCATAAGGTAATGAAGTTTTCAATAGATTTACTGTTATTACAAATAATGAGAGTATCATCTACCTAATGTTTATACAGCATAGATTCTCCAAGCATACCTTACATTTCTTTCTCTAATTTCGACATGAATATATCAGCTAACAGGGGCCCCGGAGGGCTCCCCATCGCAACATCATCGATTTGCTTGTATGCCTTTCCTTGGAAGGTGAATCTAATATTTTCTGTACACATTAAGATGATGTCTTTGATGTAAGTTTCAGGAATAGGAATATAGGTAGAACCAACAGAATGTTCCAATGTCGTCGTCGAAAAGAACATGTTCCGAAATGGCTACTAAATCACATAGAAAATCCCAATGCGACTAATCTGAATAGAAATCCGGCATCATCCATTGTAAAACATTTATTAATTTTAGGTCACGAAATCAATATTTTAACTTATTTTTATAACTCAAATTCATCTGACAAGTAGTAACTTATTCTCTGTGTTAATTATCATTCAGTTCACGGATAAAATGAAGAAAAACATACAAATATGAATCAACTAGTGGTCAAGTTATGAATCGGTTGCATTTGAATGAGGGTTATTCAAAATATTTATCCATTTTTATCCAATATTTAGTTGTTTATTTTTCTATTCCTAATTGTAAAACACTAATCAGATAACAGTTGAATTTCTTTATGCATAAATTATTGGCGTCGGTCGATTTAAACAGGATAAGAAGAAGAATTTTACTTTCCAAAGTAGGTAAAGCAAATTATTCCACTTTATTTTACGATAAGCAGTTCAACTTGTGGCTAATTGGTTACAGGATTTCATCATGAGCTGACATTGGTTAGAGAACCATTGGGAAACCTGGAAGTACTGGACAGCTGTCCAGGTGGAATTCATGGGCCATTGGATCGGGTCCCAGTAGCTTAATGATTTACGAGCTTGCCATGTAACCAGGGAGTCCTGGGTTCGAACCCCGGTGAGTGTGTACTAATGAAGAGTCCCAAACTAGGACGAAACGGCTGTCCAGTACTCCTATATTTTCCAATGTTTCTCTAACTAATGTCAGCTCATGATGAAATCCTGTAACTCAGGAAGTAATTAAGTCTACCACTAGCTTTCATAGGGCAAAGATTATAGCCCTTCTAAGCAGTTTTTGCTGTTCCGCCTAAGAAATTGTAAGAAATAGCATCACACTATTTGATATTTGTATAATACGTCTTCAAATTGTGAAAACTTGTTTGTTTGTCTAAGAGCTGTAGGAAATTAAAAGCTATGACACAGTTGTGAAAAGTAAAAGTTTTAAATGTTGGCCGATTATGTCTTTTTTAAAGCAAGGTCTTAACTTCATAAGTATGAAACTCAGTTAACTTGTTTCTACAGATCTAGATCCGCTTAACGATAATGTGTTATTGAAACAATAAAAAGACATAACGTTTAGGATGAGGATGAGGCCTGTTTAGTTTTCTGTGAACTTAGTATCCAACCTTGAACGTTTCACTATCAGACTAGATAGCTTCGTAAATCTTACTTTATAAAGAAATGAGTCGGTTGTTGATGATTACACCAATTAATGGTGATAACATTTCCATAATCGAATATCATATCTCTCAATGAACTTGGAAAAAGGAGAGATAAACATTGAAGCGGAATAGCATGAATTTTTGACAGAGTTACGTATTTCTTGATTATAGCTTGATTCCACACTGTATTGTTGATACAAGTATGGAATTTTCAGCATGTGATATCAGTAGCACACATTTTGCAGATCAACCTTTGATATCATGTGTGCGTCGACAGGGGACCGAACCTTGGACTATGTGCATAGTCAGTGAGAGTCTTAACCGCTGTGCCACCGACGCACATTTATACACCTTATATAGCACTTTAGAGTATGTAAAGGTTAGAAGGATATGTATGTAAAGCTGATTTAACATGGGCTTGGTTATGAAGCAGTGCATACTACTGACTGATATGAGTAGTTGGTGGTCACTCATGTCAAACAGTAGTGCTTGCAGCTATATCAAGTAATCTAAATAAACATTGGACGATTGCTTAGATAGTTTCGGATAATAAAGTTTTTTATTATAAATCTTGGTGAATATACTTTATTATCATGGGACAGTTATTATGGTTTCATGACCGACAGATATTATTTTTACAAGATTCTACAATATGCGATAAAAAATGTGAAAATATGAGTTTTTTTCACTAGTATTAGACCTACCTTCAATCATAGATGAAGCACCACCGCCTCGTGCTAATGTTGTCATTGATCCCACATGTGAATCAAGATCTTGAACACCTCTACCTATTGGTTGTAAGGTGATTGTTTCAAACTCTTCAAAAGCTTCAGTATTTCCAAGAGATCTCTGAAAAATAACAATCAGCAGGGATTTAGCTTTTAGCAGTAGGAATGATTTTAATGAATAGACATTCTGTTCAAATCACATGGCAAAAAGATTAGCTTAAGAAAATAAAAAATAAACAAATCAGGCTGAGTAACATGCGCGCAAAATGAATTCATTTGCAGAAAACTATTGAGCCTGATAACTTTAAAGCTTCACAACTTCATGCATTCTGAGACAGAAGGCTTATGAGGAGAATTAAACTGAACATACCTTTTGAATTAACTCCTTTCGACCGATTTCCTGAATACAATCAATATAGATATTGAAGACACAAATGATAAGAAAAGGGAAATATTCTCGTTGTCATTTAATAAAATTCAACATCTGAAAATGACACGAGTAAATTTCCCGAAGGCTTCCTTTTAAAACTGGAGTTATTCAGAACACTATTTTAGGAACCTACTTGGTATTGTTTATGTCAATGGAAAAAGTAGGAGAAACAACACAGTGGTATGTACCGCTGATTACTTTAGATAATCTAAAGAAATTAGCCCCTGAAAAAACAATCCAAACAGTTCCGAAGAAATCTGTCTACATCAGTTTGTCATTCAAAGGAGATGATGTCCAGAAAGTAGTCAAACGAAGAGTTGATAAAGCCATCAAGAGAACTTATTATGCTGCAAAACTTGCTTTCATTAACACCATCAAGCTAGTGCTTCAACAATCTGAGAAAGACTAGTCGCCAATCCTCGACACTTCAAACTGCGCATATCAATTTGAGTGTGTTCGTACGGAAAGGTGATTGTCTATTCGCATGATGGAGCATTTGCCAAAATGGTTGAAAACAGCTGGGTACAAAGTGTTAAAATCCCCAATAACAAAACATCTTGTGGACTACGGACACGATATCGACGCGGTCAAGTCATTCATTATTGTCAGCAGAAAAAGAAACAAGAAGATGTATGCAATCGCAGACGCTGGTGCAATTCAAATTTATAAACCAAAAGGAGATGGTCGTGACTCTGAATCTACCATAGTAATATGTTTAACTTATTATTCAACCTCTTATTATTATTATTCTTGATTCATTTAAAACTATCCTTTATCAGTAGGATTATCTTAACTCACTTCAATACTTTTATTATTATTGTTATTATAACTATTACTATTTATATTACTCTGTTTGCAATTCTTGTTATATTCTCTAATGACTAATTGCTTATCTAAGTGATGTAATTGAAGTGTAATGCAATTTATCTTAATTTTGATCTCTCATACTCTCTCTCGCCTTATCTATTTGAAGATGACCTGGAAAACATTCACACCTGCATTTCTGCATGACTAATTCAGTAGAGTTTGTTTACTTATCAGTCTTATATCTCCCAATGTAATTTCAAAAGTATATTTATCCATGTATGTAGAGTATTCAGCTGATGAGTTCTACCGGAATTTGATGAATTCATTAAATCCTGCTTAATTAACCTTTATTACTTGTTTTAACACTGATTAGTACATCCTACCATCCTAGCTTAGCCTTCTACATTCCAAAGAACAAGAAACAGAAATGAAGCATGATGAGAATGTGTTTGAAAGACGGCAAACGTTTTTGGTGTTCAAAATGTGACTGCGTCATCTTAGAACTTTAAAACCTACGGAAAAATTCAACATGCTTGGACATAGTACGACAGTGTCTTCTGTCTTTCACTTCATATCCCTGATTTGTTATTCCAGACCATATATCACGACTCTTCATAGCCAAGAAGAGATTAGAGAAAGTCTTGTACAGTTGAATAGTTGTGTCGAGATGCTCAATCTCTTTTGCACAAGTGGTGAAACTCGTAATCCAGTGGGTAACACTTTGTCGTTTGGACTGGTAGATGCTTTGCTCAAGTTTCAGTAGGAATACTATCATTCACTAGGGATGTATGTAGGTAGGAATGCTCATTCTGGATTCCACTGGTAGTCACCACGACCCAAATAACATTTGTACAGAACTTGCAACTTAAGGGAAAATGAAAATATTTTTAACCTGATAAAGCACCAGAATACTGATATGATTTTTTTAAATTTTTTTATTTTTTATTTACAGCTTGATTCAACACTGTATTTTTGGTACAAGTATGGAATTTTCAGCATGGATATCGGTAGCCCAAATTTTGCAGGCCGACCATAGATATCAGGTGTGCGCCGGCGTTGGCTCGAACCCCGGACCATGTGCATGGTCGGCGAGAGTCCTAACCACTGTGCCACCGACGCACTTCTGTGTAAGTTAAAGAGTTACTGATTCACGTACAACAGTATTCACACATTTATTTACTAACTTTACCCTCGTCATATATATATATATATATATATATATATAAGCGAAAGTCTGAGTGACCGATGCTTGATTTATATATTCCTCTACATTCACTTATTCGAAACGAACAAAATTTGTAAACGCGGTAATTAAATTAACAGTCGTCATAGGAGACAGGCTTTTCATTAAAATGATTTGGTAGCACAAAAAGTTAAGCGTGTTACAACTCAGAACTGGAATACTGATTGTTTAGTGGAGCAAACTCCAAAAAAATAAGACGATCCCAATTCGAAAACAGTCAACGCCTATAATTGGATAGACACAATATCTGAGAAGAGTTAGGCTTACAACGGAACTTCAAACACACATCTAAGATGACAAATCAGAGGAGATATAAAAAAACTTCAGATCCACAAATATCAAAAGTAAGATCACTAGTAATTCCTTTAGTTGATCGTATATTTCACAAACAAAAGCTGAATGACGACTCCAGAAATTATATTCTCGGTTGAAACACACAAGATGTGACCCAAGCTTAGTAGATAAGATGACAGATAAATCAGTGGTGATATCGCCCATTCACAAACCAATAGTTAATATATTGGTAAAAGTGTATAAGTTGAAGGTCGGAGTAAATGTAAAGAAATCACCAATACGTTATTCAGCCGACTGGGTACATCAATATTCATGATGAATATACCAGCGTTACATCATTTTGTAGGGCTACTAAGGCGATGTGTACATCGAGGTTTAAAACTTTACTTATGAAAAGTTAAGCTTGGGGACAGGAGAATATCCACAAATCCTGCTTTAAATACCACCTACTAAATCAGGGTTGACTATGATCATACAATCAAATGTTATGCAATTTAAAAGATAGTCAACCTTATCCTAGTATTTCAGATTTCGCCTAAATTAATTCTAATTAGCCATGGCTTTTCAACCTGGTTTGTTTTTTTGAGGATTGGGCATTTTCATCCACATATAAAAAAGCGAATTAGATGGATTCAGGTGGTCGAAGGGAAGCTTTTAACCTGGGTTTCGTATTTGTTGGGCCTCTTCAGTGTGGTGTATCTGTAACCTCAAAAGAAAGTGGTGGCCTCCTTTAAAATCATTGTAGGATTCACTGAGATGGCAAGTCACTTAACTTGGTGACCATACTGGAAACTGGGCCGTTAGAATTAAGTTTCCCTTAACTACATAGGCTAGACACATGATAATGGTTACCTCCTAGTAACCATTCAAATAACGACTTATCTGTTATTGTCCATAGTGCTTTTTATTATATTTTTAATGATATCTACTACACCAGAACTACTGAATTTTGAAAGTTCATTTGGAATTACCTTTTGCTTTATGGTTTCCTAAAAACTTGAAAAATAGAGAGATGAACAACGGGATTCAGAAGATTTTAATTGCCTACTGAAGTCTTTCCTAAATATCTAAGTCATGACTTCAATAGACAGAGAGTTTCTTTGATGAAACGTAGTATAATTGGGTTTAAATTAGTCATAACTCACATTTACAGCAGATGTTGAACGATAATGTTGTTGTTGATGATGTTGATGGGCACTTTGTTGCTGATACTGACGATAATCATGCAGTCCTGTTGATGATGCAGCCATCTGCCTTAATCTTGTTTGTCGTGCTAGCTCTTGTTCACGTTCCTGTTTTAAACGTTCACGTCTTGCTGAATAACCAGAACGTGCTAAATGTGATGTTGACGACATTTCACGTTTATAGGCCAAATCAGATTCTAAAATAGAATATTTAATATATACGCACATGTTATGATCAAGTGAAAATTAGACTGTGAATATTTGTACCTTCAATGACTTGTCAACATTTACTGTGACTTACTGTGTAATTACAAAATTACATGGAGTTATCTGTTAGGCTTGAATAAAGCTATATATACAAACCTCATTATCCTTCAGGACGACGGTGACATCGATCTCTAGCATCAGATTTGGATGGTTCTCTTGTCATAACTTCATCTCCGAGAGAAAACTGGAGTCTGAAAAGATCAATTTCTATCCAAATGGAGGTGTACGTCGAGTTGAGTATGCCTATGGTAGAACTTTCAGTGGCTTAACAGTTGTCATAGTCACTGATGAAACCATACTTTAGCGTTTATCTGTAAAGATCCATTTCTTAAGTCACAAATAATTACAAATGCTGCCAAAATGACTCAATGAATTGCAGAATTTAAGGGAAACTACTTTGTGACACAATTATAAGGCTCTTAGTCTCTATGTTACTAGTCAAGATATTCGCCAACTATGGATGAAACCAACAAGTAATAGATTTTCTAATAGATAAATAGTTCTCAGAAGTGCTCATTAAAATAATTCAGCCCCAGCGTTAGTGGACACAGAGCTGTTTGTAATTTACTACATTATTTGTGGAGCCCGTTTTGCATAGTAACATCAATATTATTCCGATCATTCTACAGTTAAACTAGATCGCAATAAAAGCGAGTAGATCAAGATGATAAACCATGAAACTACTGGACAGAATTCTCTGTAATCTGTAAAGTTTCTGGTGGTTGAAAGTACTGCTGAAACTCCTCAGTTACATCTCTGGTGGGAAGTTATAGATTTGCAATGCTGAAGAGTATAAAAACGAAGGCAAAATAACCACTCAGTGCTTTCTACGATTTTCGACAGTATTGTTTTGATACTTGTCACTTTTTGGTGAAATCTGCCCTGAATAACTTTGGCCAGAGTTTAGACATTTACTCACCGTGTACGTATGTCTAAGCCTGTAAGTGTGTCTTCCATTCATGTCCACAAAGAGAAAGCAGTGTATCGAAGTTAAGAAGTTAAGACACTCGGGTATAACTCAACCCCTCCTCTTACAGTTCATAAACTCTTGCATCCTACCTATTCTTCTTTATTGTTCACCCTTATTCTTTCCTGGTTTGCTTAAAAAGGACTATGTCACAATTTGTAGAATTCTGAAGAATGTCAGTAGGGTGAGTGGTGTCCCAGTGGACCACATAGTTAACGTTGTTGTCGATAGGCACTTGACTTCATGCAATAAATTCGCTAAAGGGATTTTGTCTGACTTGGAGCATCCGCTTTACCCTCAGCTTTCACCTTGCATCTCCTCAGGTAGAACAAGGAGTAACTTCAGAAAACTGTATGCTTGCACGTCTAAGTATAAGAATTCTATGATACCATACTTGGCACGTATTTTATGTGATGAAAATAGTGTCAGGCAAGAACTAACTAACCTTTTTTCATTTAGTAAATAAATAATTCCCTCCATCCATCCTTATATACCTTCAAGTTTTACTTCTATTATTTCTATTATATTTATGGTCCTGTTACTTATCTGTTTTTTTTACTCTCATAATTGAAAACACCAACTTATCTCCATGACGGTTGTAATCTTTGTTTTCCCCTTCACCATATCATGTAAATAGAACATTATATTCAATATTTTTAAACATGTTGGGATTTCTATACCACATCGCCAATACTGTGTGGCACAAGCCAACGGCAATTTTCACTTGTATTATTATTATTATTATAACCCTAGCTGTTATCATTATTATTATTGCTATTTCCATTTTATATGCTGCATGTTTTTGACACTGCCTGTATTGTAAATGTGGAAAATTTTTTGTGTGATTAATTTTTATTTATAATTTGAGGAAATTAGATGCAATAATATTGTGATTAATGCTGAGAATTCCATTCTGCATCACAAGTACTGTTTTTGGAATAAAGTAAATTATTATTATTATTATTATTATTATTATTAGAGACAATGATGACAATATCTTCATCAGAATGAACACATGTGAAACTATGTTGGAAGCATAGTTAATACAGTCATTCAATGGATTAGAAAGCCAAAACACTCTGATCCCTCTGTTCCACGATTCACTTTCCACAAATTCTGCCATGCCGACATAAGGAATACAGAATTCACTTTTATGTGTACACAAATCCTGTGTGTAAAGTAACTTGAAATATCAGTTACACTGAATTTTTATAGTTAATTATTAATCAAAAGTTTAAACTCGCAACTATGTTGTAACTGATATCATATTTCCACAGGATACGCAATTTTGTCTAAGAGCACAATTCAATTTTCAAGAGAAGCTTGTAAATTTAGTACCGTAAGACAGTAAGAGACATAGAATAATAAATCATAATAGTGAACTGTTGCATGAAAAGCACCAAAAATTTAAGAGAACTTTTAGGCTAAATCACTTCATTTTGTTCCTGTAAAATCAATTAGTTGATATTTAGTAAGTTCGAATCTGTTTATATATTAACCAATCAATACAATAAATCAATATACTGAATGAATAGTTGAATTTAACTTTCTCTATAACCAGCTTGTATGTATAGAGATTAGTGTTAAGAAAGTAGATTGAATTATTGTACTGGCAGGATTCTATACATAAATATATATTTACAATCTGGTAATTGATCTCCCCTCCCTGGTTCTTAATCTGTCGCTTTTCCACTCTCCTTTTATTATTTTGTCATCATTTATAAGACTGTTTAACCTGATCATGTGCGTCGGTGGCATAGCGGTTAGGACGCTCGCCGACCATTCACATGGTCCGGGGTTGAACTTCCGGCCAACGCACTCCTTTACCTCGCTAAGCCAGAAATAATGGTGGTAGAGAGGAGAGGTTGGGCATGAGGCTAGAAACCCCATCCTGTAAAAATTAAACACTGCTACAGAAACTTCAAGCCACTAGCTTGAAGCCCTATGTTCCACTGGGAATGTGAAGGAAAAAAACCTGATCATAGAGACAGTGGTTAACATTAAACTTGGTTCAGTTTAGTGTAGAAATCTCCGCTTCTAAGAACTTATTCTCGAATACTACGACTTGATTAGATAATTTCTCTGATCAGCTGTATAGTACAGGGAAGAAGGTGAACGGCTTTTTTTCTTTCATCCCAACTAAAACGATGCCTATCTGCAAACTAAACACTTAAGGAATTCCGGCTTAATTCCTGCCTATACATGGGTTTAAGTGAATGTTGGCAGTTACGAAAACTATGTCAAATAATCAGGATGATATCTACTCAAAAATAGGGGATATATTTTGTTCATAATCTTATTCTTTTTTTATAATATTCCTTTACGTTCTCAGTGGAACAGAGGGCTTCAAGCTAGAGGCTTGAAGTTTCGGTAGCAATGGTTTTTCTTTTATGGCATGAGGCTTCTATAGTCATGCCCAACCTTCTCTCTTTACCAGTCTTATTACTAGGTTAGTGAGTTAAAGTAGTGCGTTGAGCGGGAATCGAACACGGGATCACATGAGTAGTTGGCGAGCATTCTACAACTTAGTCACCGACGCTTTGTTCATAAATTGCCAGTTTATGATTACAGTTTTCAAATACTCAGATAATGGAAAAGCAAAGGGATTTCTGCAGCTCTCACCAATCAAGCTTAAGCTTTGTACCTTCATCAGTAGAAGTATGTTTCACTGATCAATAGCTCCGGAGACTGTGCATATACATTACTGTGAAGGATAAAATCTAACAGGGGAACAATACTATCTATCTAAGGTCTAAATATTTTCAATCCGAATAAATTTAATATTAGTAGAGAATTTAGGACTATACTGGCAAAAATCTGAACATGTATTCCTGAACTAGTGATAACGTTGACCTACATATTGATAGAAGTGTTTAGTATTCAGACAGGGTTTGTATTAGTAGTTAGTTTAGATGTGTTTTTCAGATTACATATATAGTTTCCAATATAGCAGAAATATTCATTCAAAAATCTACAAAATAAAAAATATTGAGCAAAGAATATCCTTTTCGATAATTTCCTTTTCTTCTGGCTCTACAATTACATCAACTGGTCAGTATACTCATTTGGTCAGCCTACTACCTTTGAAATATAAACATAATCTGATAAAGTGCTTGATCCACAGAGCAAGAGCAATCTGCTCTGATGAAAGCCTTCATGAAGAACTTAATATTATTAAACAGTTGTTGAGTGAGAATGGTTAGCCAGCGAATTCCATTGATAGGAATATGAATCAGACATCAATGCAGCCCAAGGTACCAGCAGTTCCTAAAAGGCTTTATTCGTACAACTTCAATTCCCTGGGGGATAACATCAGGGAGATGTTAAGAAAACGCCTTAGGAATGAGGTAAAAAGAGCATTCACTACTGCTGAATTATGGTGTGTCTTCAAAACCACCAGTATTTTGCGTTCGGAAGTAAAAGATAAACTACTGCTCCTGTGGAGCCAGTTACATAGACCGTACAGTTAGGCGTGTTTCTTGTTGGATTTTCGAAGATAATCCTCCTGCGTGGTTAAGTAAAGGACAAACAAAATCGATTCATAGCTCTTTTCTATCTCATCTTGTGGATACAGAACACAAGATTGATTTCAACGAGGCTTTCAAAGTCGTTTACAGCATACCAACTAATCTTCACTTCACTTTAAGAGTTCGTCTAATACATATTGCTGAGGCCGTTGGGATCCACATTAAGAAGCCTAACTTATGTGTCCAAAAGAAGCTGGTTCAGAAATTGTGCATAGCTTGGCCATCAAGGTTTTAATGATCCTCAATTTTCTTTGTGAAAATTTCCTTAATTTTGTTTGACATTCTATTTGCTGTTATTTTTGTATGCTTATTATAATTTATGCATCTTTGGTAAACTGTAATTCCACTGTGGTCTTACTTAACAAATCGACAGTATTTAAAAAACTCCAATATTGTCAATGACGACTATTCTAGAATATTCTTTCTATATAAACATATATGTAATTTTAGAGGCAGAAGACAAAGTTATCAAAAGTGATATTCTTTGCTCAATATTTTGTTTTTTCAAGATATATATAGTTTTACTTGGATTTCCAGTAGTTTTATTAATTCATTTCAGTTTTAGATAGATTAGTAAATGTGATCTTGATTCTGAAATGTCTAGATCTCATCAATAAGAATTCCAATAGATGAATCTTGCAAATATAATATCGCATACATCTATTCTGCGAGGACGTCGTCAGTAATGAAACAAATCAATACTTAGACAAGTTCTGATACTTCATCTTAGGCATTACATCATCATATTTAGTGTCATTTCAATGCTGAAGCTCGTACTAAAGTTTTTATCGATTTCAGTGATGTAACGTTATCGATCGAACAATTTCTAACCTCATCTAGAGATACAAATCTACTCAGTTATTTCAAAAATATTTAAAAATGATTCTTGATAATTTAAAAAACAACACAAAAATTAATGATGTAATAACAATAAAAACAGTAGTATTAAATGTTACAATTATCAAAAAAATTAATAATAAAATAGAACTAACCAGAGCCTTGGTAAGATCTTAGATTCCAAGATCGTGGAGCACCATAGACATTAGTATGACTCATTGTACGCTTTGGGATTGAGAAGTTAACATCATCTGTGATAATTTGTGATTTGTAAACAGCTTTTACGAATCAATCACCAATGGAAATATGTGCAAATACGGTACAGAGTGAGTGATGCAGCAACACAACAAATCCATACACGCACACCCACACATATTGAGTGTGCAGTTGAGCGAGCGAGTGAGAGAGCGAGCGAGAGAGAGAGAGAAAGAAAGAGATCAATGAACAAATGAGATGAAATGTAAAAATAGATTAAAAAACCAACAAAAACTACTAACTTGATGATATTTTTACAAAAGTTAGTTATTACTACTGTGAAAAAAGTCTCATTAAATCACAGTAGTATGCAGTGATAAATGTTTTGTAAAAATAAGAGATCTAAAATGAATACATCTCTACAACACAGACTATACTAATCAATTGTCGCCTACTACAATGAGAATAGTAATGAACAGCAGAGAATTATGATTGATAACTGTAATAGAAAAGTAATAATAATAGTAATAATAATAAAAACTTGTTAACAATAGAGAAAAACGATGATAAAAACTCCATTTAGAGAAAAAAAAGTAGCAGCAGTGTTTAAACTAATGTGTGTGAGCACTCTTAGTATGCTTAAGAAAGCAAAAAATGCGCCACAGAGACACCCACACCCACACACACACACAATATAAAGTGTGCCTATACGTGTGTGTGTGTGTCTGTGCTTTCTATGCAGATTGATTGATATAAAATTAATTTGTAAAATAAATTTCCAGTTTTGTTTAGTTAGATGGGTAGTAAACACGGATGTTGGCAGAATTCTACAGGTGTGCATAATTGATTTCCGATTGAAAAAAAGGTGAAAAATACACACTCACAGATGCACGCACACACACAAACAAACAGATATACACGCCACATAAGACTTGTTCCTTTAGTGTGTGTGTGTGTATGTGTATGTTTACACACGAAAGTATACACAGTTTTCGAATGACTTCATAAATCTCATCAATAAAATTCCAGCGAAGCACCGACTGACTGATCTGATGGATTTAACTGTGTCAGTTAGTTTTCGGATCGATATACTGAGGCAGGATTCACGATGTTGGTGGAAAAACGATGTCGATGCTAATAATAATAATGCTTGCTATAGGTTCTGATCTAATGTCTTAGTCTGGAATTTTAAATTTCTAGAATCACGTGATTGAATTAATTGATTAGTGTTTTGTGTGTGTAAATCTGATCATGATTCTCTTCTAAATAACTTGTTTTTCATAAGCCATCAGTTAGCCAGAGAAATTCCATTTGGTTAGGCGGCATAAGCGTGATTCTATAGATTTCTGAGATATTCGTGTAAAATCAATCTGGTATGGTAGATTTCCGTTTTTTATTTCTTTTTTTTGCAATTTTGCATTGATTATCGGTTAGGTAAGCAGATAAGTGAGTGTTTCTTTTATTAAATTATTGGTCTATGGTGTGACCTGAACCCTACTTGTTGACCGTGTGATTGATTCGTATTGTGAAATTCTGTCAGCTAAATTGTCAACGGGTTTAGGGCTTTTTATGTGTCAACGCTTTCAAGCAACTCTAGCTGTTGCTTCATTTCATTTATTGTGTGAGGGCTAAGATACTGCCTGGGCGCCCAGACCGAAGCAGGTGGTTTTCTTAAGGGACCATCCGCCGAGCCTTTGACTTGGAGTCTAATCCGCAAGGCAGCGGAGCTGCATTCCCATGGTTGCCAGTGACCAACATGGGTTCATACGCCATTTGATCCGATTGGTACATCATGGTACAGTCCATGACGTGGCGTTGTGGGATGTAGGATGTCTGTGCTAGATTAGCATCGGTTGGTGCGTCACAACTCCCTGGTTGGAGTCCGAGAGATAGCTGGAGTTGATGGCTCGAAACGGTAACGGATATGGCCAAGAATAGTAATCAATAGCGAACGTGTTGCGATTTTCTTCTTTCTTCCCTTCGCGATGACAGCTGACGAATACTTTTTGAACTTGTTAAGCATAACTGTTTTCCTTCCAGATGAAGTTCTTTATTCTTTCTCTACTTATATTTTTTACTTTTGATCTATGTTGTTTTATTATTATTGTGTGGCGCATCTTTCTTGGTGCCATATTGTAGCAAGTTGTTTTTTCTGAGCTCTAATAAATAAATAAACTCTAGCTGTAATACTTACCTTTAAGAAGTGTGTCGTAAAATCAACTTATCAGGCCATTTTCTGCCACAAATACACAATAATGTAATGCATAAACTATGAAAGGTAGATATTTGGGACTGTACATTTTAACCTGAGATGAAATTCAGGAGCTACACTTCGAGTGACGATGGAGTGGGGATAAAAGAAAACGATTACATTGGGAAAATACTTCAGATATTGTAGCTGCGGAGGACTGTTTATTCCGAAAGTCTTTGCCGATTGATATTAGATGGTTGGAGGCAATCGGCCACAGGAAGCCTTGGATCTAGGTTTCGTGCTAGTTGGCACTCACTAGTCAGCAAGGCGTATCTGCAACCGCCTTGAAGGAAATCATGTCCCTCCTGAGATTCGAACCCGCGTCACCCAGTGCTTTAGTCACAGACGTTACCACTGTAAGACTGTATTGGGTATTCTTGATTTCACACTAGTCAGTAACTAGTGTAATGTGTCTAGTGAGTAGTGTGAAATCAAAAAAAGTTTTCCCGATGATTAAACTTTAACACTGAATTTCAGTGACACAGTGTACCAGGGCTTCGAGTTTTGAGTCCCAGGTTGGCATGGAGGAGATAAGATGAAGAGGATATGAAAGCTCATGGTCAATCGTGTAGCCAGTAGAGACACGCTCTGCTGAAGCTCTGTTTTTCCACTCGAAACCCAAGAAGGTGAGGGTAATAATCTGCCACCACTATAAAGAGTATCAAAGAGTCACTTGAACTAGCCTAGTGAATGTATTATACGCTTGACAAACAACATTCTTGATCAGGAGTAAAAAGCTTAAAAGCTTACACCGGTAGCCTAAAAGAATGACCATTTTGTGTATTAGATATTTTCTTCGGGAAAGTCTGTGTTTCGAAGTGACCTATTTTACTGCATCCCTACACCAATCAAAATTCACCGATGATTGAAAATCATCCAATGAAGGGATAAAATAAGTATTTGTAAAAAAAGGTAACAAAAAGGGGGAAAAGATTAAAAGTATAAAGAAATATTTACAAACTGGTGAAGAAAGAGAAGTGTACAGATTTTCTGACAATTCACAGCCTTTTCGAGATTGATTCAAGTTTTCTGCATAACTGGTGATCTGAGTAAAGTTTCTTATAAATTTTGACACAGGGAATTTGATAGTTCAGTCCCATTGATTTAGTGGATTTTGACTAGCCTGCCCGTCTGAATAATCAGGTTTTAGTGTTTAAGAGAAACGCTTGTATCAGTCGATGAATGGCCCTGATGAGCACTGGGAGGACTTCAGGGGGTAGGTAAACACAGTGTTAGCTAAACAACATCAGTTTAACATGATAGTCGGTTAGCAAAAAATGCGATTTCATAATATCATGTTAGCCGATAAGGTGATGTTTCCCCTAGCCCGTGTAGAATTTTTATATATAGAATCTTAAGACAAACCAACTCACGGTATTTTCGGTTAAATGAACCAATCTCTCTGGTTCTAGACACAGGAGAAACATTATTGTCATGATAATTATTATTATTATTATTACTATTATTATTAAAATTACTACCACTGGTGTAAACAGTAAGTGGCACTTGATGTGTTGACCAGTAAACATCTTCATCATCTTGTGTTTGTTGTTGGTGGTGATAGTTACTACGCATAGTGTTAGACAGATTAGTTCCATTTACACTTGAGGATGTTATATATTGTCCTATGGGTGTATTAACTCTGACTTCTTTATATGAAGGTATCATCATAATCTTTTGATTTTGTTCTCCTGTTCTCCATCCTTCGTCATCTATCACTCTATTCTCATCATATTCAATTTCTTCGTGTATTGTACCAGTAGGTCTACTGTTTTGATCAAGAAATTTTTTATAATTGTGATAACTACTAATTGAATTTCTAGACATTATTTGTGAGGCTGATTCACTTGAAGAGGATTTACTCTCTAAATCGAATTGAGTCAAGACATTGTTACAAGGATCTGGAAAGCAGTAACGACACTTTGTGTTGTGACAACTTCGTTTCAATCTCAGCGAATGAGGATAATGTGCCACGGTGCTACAATGATGCTGGAATTGAGGTATATGCTGATGACTTTCAGTGTTATAGTACACTTCCGAATAATTCGAACGATTTTGATGCAGACTTGGACTGTATTCTACTTTTCTTATATTATGATTCGATTTCATTTCTTGTTCTGATATTCTTGAGTAACAAACTAACAGCTTTCAATTATTTTACTTTTGATAATCTGACGTGAATAAAGACGAGTGAGTATCTGCGTTCCTTTGTTCCACTTGTGGTTAGTAGCCGTTCATGGGAGACGCAAGGTGGCTTCTAAAACAATTAAAATAAAAAGAATAAGGGATTGGTATTTAATTTGATTAAGGAACAAAGTTAGAGAGATAATTTGTGAATAAATTCTGCTCAGCTGCTTTTAAAACGATATCTCTAAGTGAACAATGTAGTCCAATAGCTTAAGACATATAACAAATGACGAAGGTTAATGGAGTCATGATTGTTAAAATTCATAAATTTCGTTTTACGTGTTAATTGAATACAGTATACACTTGAATATCTACTCTGATGCATGTGTATACCCACAAATGAACCGCTAAATCTGCAGAACCACTACCACTAGGAGGGGGAACACAACAGCCAGGATAATTCTCGCAGTGGGAACAGTACTTACTACTTTGAACGTGTATTCAAAAGCAAATGCCTCTTTGCAAAGAAAGGTACAAGCCTAACAAATATGGCAAACCGTTTCTCCAAATAATTATGAATTACTGTAAATAAAGCAACTAGGTGTTCCGCGTCGGTGGCAGAGCGGTTGGGACGCTCGTCGACCATGCACATGGTCCGGGGTTCGATACCCAGCCACTGATGCACTCCTTTACCTGACTGAACCA